AGCACCAAACGGTGATGGCAACGATATGCGCTTTATCACGTTTACACTGTGACCTGTACATTTTTGCCTGAAGTATCATTTCTACACTAGATGAAGCAACTGAAGAAGGAATTTTTAGAGGTATTGTTTTTCGGTGCCACTTTATAAGGCAGAGAGCCAACCACCAATCACACACTCGAATGCTGTTGCCACAGCTGTTTTCTTTTTCTTTCTTTTTTCCTCTGCTGATCTCCCTTGCAGTAACTGTTTGAGCCACCCCACGGCAGGCGCAACAATTTGAGAACCACTATATTATAGTATTGTTCACAAAGAAATTTGAATAAAACAGTATTACCTTTTACTTTTTAATGATTTGTTAGACGGAAGTGTGCTAACCAGGGTCGGTGCTAACATTCTCCACCTTATTTAGTTTACTGCTTCTCAGGTGCTGGTTTCCTCAGCGCAGTAAAATATTCGCTTCCTCTACATCAGCCAAGCCAAAAAACCTATCGACCAATGCTGATTATTAAAGAACGCCAAATGTTGTCCAATACTTCGCCTGAGATGACATATAGCTCAGCTACTAGGCACTGACCTGATTTTACCTCCATGTCCTCCAGGATTTATATACGACAATGATTCGCATTCATCTCCTCCTCAAACACCATCCAGATGTTGTTATTCCTATGTAGGAGATGATAACATCTCACTCATATTGAGTCAGGAGACGGTTTAGCTGTCCTGGGCTGGAGCAGGAGGGAAGGAATGGGGCCCCAGTCCACGGATCAGGAGTTCAGTGGTTTTGGGTGTTTGTAGAGCAGGCCAGTGTGTGTGTGTGTGTGTGAGACTAACAGAGGCAGGCATGCACAGCTGTGAGCTGGAGCTGTGCCTGATGTAGTACACAGACCAGAGAGCTGTCAGCATGCTTCATCAGCGGTGAGAGGAAGGGTCCATGAGGGCCTGGTGGAGACAGCTTGCAAGGAATGTACTGGAGGGCGCACTTTTAAAAAAAGATCAGAGACGGCTTTTATGACGGATGTAAAGATATTGTTAGGAAATGCTTGCACTGAGATTCAGTGTTAGATTTGTGTTCTGGTTGAAATGTAGTCCAGTTGAGCTAACATGGGTGTAAAAGTGCTATTAGCTATATATTTAGCCTTGAAATTGGCATAATGAGAAGTGTTTCAGATCATATTCTATTTACTATATCCATGTATATTAGCATGATTGAAATGCTCTATCGACCAATCAGCATGCAGAAATCCAGGGGGATGGGGTGGTGGTTTCTTTCAAATTGAGGTTTGTTTGTAATTGTCCCTTCGCTACGCTCTACCGAACTCAGATGAGCGTTGTTACATTAAGCGCCTGTCCTGCACACTAGACCTATATATGGAGCCACTGAGAGGTGTTCAATCAAACAGGCTTTTTATACCACTGCCCAGTGCAGACAGCACATGCTCACGCTGTCACACTCTGCTGCCCGCTCACCATGCCGGTTACCACGGCAACTGGGACGGTTTTCAGCTGTTGCCTTGACAACAATCCAGTACTCCCATTTAATTTGCTGAGACAAAAGCTGTCTCTCATTTCGAAGGCTGTGTCCTTCAAATGGCCCCATACGTCATAAAGAATCTCTTATTTCTAAAAAGAAACCATTATATAATTATTCATAATTAAAAATTGTTATAATTTCTTTGGAAAGTAGTAGTGAAACAGCACCGATGATGAATGGAGCCAACAAACGCGACTTCCAGAGAACGCAGCCTTCGAAAGAGACACAGTTAAAGACGCTGACGCCTCTGGGAGGCAAAAGGGCAGTCTGAGCTTTGGAAAGGAAGTGGGGGGTGTATCGATTGGCCCAGTGGCATGTCATTTTTCACAAGAGTGCAGAAGAATAGACCTTATCGAGCTGGAAGCCCCTCTTTATCTTCTGTCTCGCGATCTACAGACACCTGTACCCATATCAAATGACTGGCCTGGATCTAGTTTCCACGCTGTTGTTGATTCTGCAATGCCATGCTTGTTCAACGCACGTGGTGTAGGAAAAGGATGAGCTTTGTGATGTGTGCATTGTCATCATTGACATTGTTCAGTGTTTGAGGGTTAATGTGACTTTAAATGTATTATATTTTTTATGCTCTGTTTTTCTGGCACATACCACAATTTGAATGTGCTCTTTGAGTCGTCTAATGAGCATGTCATTAGACAAGCTTCAAAGTCATTTAACACAATGTCCACAGAGAGATTTTATTATAAACCTTTCAGAGTCAAAGATAATTCAATTATTATTATTCATAATTTTATTATATTGTTTTGTTTAATACAATATAAAAAAATATTATTCATTTTTAAATATTATATTGAGTATAAATGCTGTTATAACTACTACTACTACTATATTATTTTAAAATGTATATTTAAAAAAATGATATTTTCGACTACAACACTACAAAGAAAGACTACCTCGCTAACAAATAATAAGCAGTAAATTAGGAGTTTGAGGCAAAAGTTATTGTTAATAGTTAGTGTTCCCCATACTGACCAAAAAAAAATATTTATAACATATAGTAATTTAAAAGTTATAAAAAAAAAAAAAAAAAAAAAATATATATATATATATATATATATATATATATATATATGTGTGTGTGTGTGTGTGTGTGTGTGTGTGTGTGTATATATATATATATATATATAGTAATTTAAAAGTTTTGTTCACCCATTAAACAACTCGGGGAGCACCATTAACTTTCTTATTATTATAATTATTATTTATAAATAATAATAATATACATTTTATTTATATATATATATATATATATTGTACAATATTTTCTGTGAATATATTAACACCATATTTCCTATGGTGTATGGTATTTAACTATTTTTGAAATGTATTATTATGTTTTAAGTAACTTCACATTTCACTCTGTTCACACGTCTGATGCATCACTGAGCAGCATGGTTTTTAGTTCTCCTTGTTTGTACACAGACCTCTTAATCTCTTCCTCTCCATCCTCTTATGGTCTTTAGCTACTGCTGTGTCCTCGTTGCCTGTTTGTTCCTCATGCGTCAGCTGACAGTGCAGGGAAACTGGGTCGCTTGGGCCCTGCCCTGTGTGTGCAGTGTCTCGTCCTGTCCCTGCCCTCTCACTCTATCTGTGCGTGTGTTTGGAGCTTCATGTTTCTCTGGTCTACAGTTTACCTCATGTTTGTGAAGTTGGATCAGTATCTGTGTGTTTACGTGGGTAGATAGAAATGTACTCTTGTTTGGCACGCTCACACTACCCAGATGTCCACTTGTGATTGGCCGAGCTCATGCGTCATGAGCTCCACCCACTAATGTTACTCAGCGTGTGCACTCTTGCACACCAAGTGAATGCCTTCCCAGAAGTGGGAGGTGCTGTCATGCTTTGGGTAATCCACGTGTGTGTGTGAGTATGAGAGAATGGCCATGGCAGGGCTCTGATGAAACCAAAACAGACGGTGGGGGAGGTGTGTGCTTGACCGAGACATCCAGGAAGGACCGGGAACTTAAGCTGTACGCCTATAGATGTTTACAGGCACACCTACAGAGAAGCATGTGACATCCGTTTTACTTACAACAAGTCTAAGAAATTCCCTTATGCTTCCTTATAAGAAATGACATTAGTTTCAGCAGCCTTGGTTGGGCTCTATTAGGATATGAGTAAGAGATATTATCGGGTGTAATTCCAAAATAATCCCTTACCAGAATGAGCAGAGTCTTTTATCTTATGTTTGAAATAATGTAAAAAAATACATAATTTTATATAGAGAGGGAAATAAATGACCCAAATGCATATATAATGAGAGGTTATACATATAGTAAAGTTTATATATGAAGCTCTATTTTTGGCAAATTTAAAGGCCTGTTCACACCAAAAGTGAAATGTCTAAGCCTCAGGCAGAAGGAAATTTGAATTCACACCTGTACAGTAGAGGGCACAGCTCAAACAAACCTTTCAGCTGAGCTGCCATTCTGAATAGCAGAAGAAGAAGGTTCAAACTTCAGCAACAACATCAAAAAATCAAACACAAATGTGATGTTTATCTGAAGTCATTTTTGCTCTTTACTAAGGTTGAATTGGATCGTCCAAAGCCAGCAGCAAAGACGTTGGTTAATAAAGTGAGATTAAACTCAAAAAGTGTATTTGTGTAATTTAAAAGTAATGCATTATTTTACTAGTTACTTGGCAAAATGTAATCTGATTACGTAACGTGTGTTACTCGTTAAATATATATACAGTCTATACATAAAAATGAGATATAAAAATTAGTTTGTAATGATAATGCCTCTAATAAGCTCTCACTGTATTTATATCACAATATTATTCTGCCTTTATAGTTTGCAAACATGTGTATCTACAATGTAACATTTCTTCCTGTATTTTAAGCTCTCACACATCCAGTAGTTTATGTCTGTTACTGGTTCCTTTTTTTTCTGTGTGATGTTTTACTTTTGCTTTAGCAGGTCTCATTTAATAATAGACCTTATTTAGAGCAGCGCCATGACAGGTATGAAAGTGAGGCTGTGAGGGATAGACTTACCGTGTTTCCAATGGCATCCGCTGTAAAAAGCTGAATAAAGCAGCTAGATTACTTACAATTTTCCACAGCTTACATTGTCGGGAGTTTTTTGTCAACTGAAATTTCTTGGAAAGATATTTTTCCAGTGTTTCATGAGCAGAACAATCTGAAAACGCATTAAATAACAGTACAGCCCATTGAAGAGATGCATGTCTATCCCTCACAGCCTCGCTTTCATTCTCATTAAAAATCAAAGATGGCGCTGCCGTGAATAAGGCGTATTGAGTGGGTTAAGGAAATAGCCACCAACTCTAAGTGCATGGGAATGCTGATGTTGTATTCTATTGACATGCTTTTTTTTGCACAGCAAGGTGACGTTTAATTCTTGCGGCTATAGATTTTCCGTGTACCCTGCCAGCTCTTAATGCATAGGATAAATGCTCAGGTGTTTATTTCTTCATTTCCCCCTTACAGACTCTGAAGAGGAAGGAGAAAGACTACGAACATGAGATGGAACGTCTGGCGCGGGAGAAGATCGCCTTGCAGCAAAAACTGGCTGAGCTGAAGAACGAGCTGAGCCAGCGATTGGATGTGATTGAGATCGACCGTGTTATTCGACAGACTGTGCAACCAGATGATGACCAGGCCTCTACCTCCACTGCCTCAGGTTAGTCTTGCAGAAGGGTTAATGTTTCAATTGCTATAGATAGATACAGTACTGTATATCTGTTAAAAGTCAAGTATATTTATAAAGCGCTTTTCACAATATAGATTGCATCAAAGCAGCTTCACAGTATCAATCAAAACATCATGTCAATATTCGTTTCTTAGTGGAAAAACATCCACGTTTGGTAGAGCTGATCAATGGTATTAATGATTGGTCAATTAATTTGAATATCCCCAACTGAACAAGCCAAAGGAAAAACTCCATCAAGTGACCCGATGGTGTCCTAAAACTCCATCAGGTGACCCAATGGGCTCAGTTGGGGACCAGTTCTCCTCTGGCGTTTATGAACTAGAGGCCGGATTTACAGTAACTGTAAGGTAAAAATGTATATGAATGTCTCTAAACAGACTTTAAACGTGAACCTGTGATAAACGCTGATGGCGTTCACATGCGCATTAAGAATTGATTCTATAGTTATGTGGATTTGAATATATGTGCGCATGTTTGTAATTCCCTACAAAACCATGCTTGAACAAACTGCTTGTCTTGTCTATAAATTTGATACAGAATTTTGTTTTATTTTAGACCTTCGGGGTAGGGACACGAAACGAATTCACAACGCTTTATCTGTAGAGTGGGAAATGAAGGATCCAAGTTCCTAAACTTGTTTTTAAAAATCTTGTAATAGTTTCTGACCCTTTTTATTTTGTTGTTGTCTCTACAGAAGGCGAAGACAACATCGATGAAGATATTGAAGACGAGAGCTTATCCGCCACGGCCAACGCCTTACTCAAAGTGCCTGCTGCGCTTCAGCCAGAGTTAAAGAAGTCACATTCTGCCCTGTCCCTCATAGCACAGCACATCTCCATCCCACACAAACAGTCTAAAGCGTTATCCCCGATTCCGTCAGCTCAACTATCCCCTGTGGCCGCCGCTGCCCTCATCACAACTCCCGCTTTGTCCTCAATGCCAGCACAAGCTCCCAATGGCCCACCGTCTGCTCCGGCCCTGCAGACCCTACCTCCGGCCCAGACCCATATAGTGACCACGGCGAGTCTGCAACCTACCGTCATTGCTCACGCGGGATCGGCGTCGCACACCTCTGTCATCCAAACCATCAACCATGTCATCCATCCAGGCTCCAAGCACATGGCCCACATCTCCCCATCCTCCTCGAGCTCGGTGCAGCTGGCTCCCGGACCTCAATCCATTAGCCATATCACTGTCGCCCACCTTCCTGCAATCTACCCTCAGCCCGTTACAGTCACACAGCCGGCGGTTATGAGCCACATCGCGCACACACTCTCTCACGCCCAGATGAACGGCACTTCGGTATCTGCCGCACAAGCCGCCATGGTTGGCAAGCAGACGGCTGTGGGTGCTCAAGTGGTTACCCATCACCCTCAGCTGGTGGGCCAGACCGTCCTCAACCCAGTCACTATGGTGACAATGCCCTCCTTCCCAGTCAGCACGCTAAAGCTGGCCTGAAGCGCTGACAGTCAGGCCCCTAGATAGACTCTAGACACTTAGACCACATCCGCCCTGTTTGAGACTGCAGCCACACACAACACTGCATCTAAACGAACTATAAAGCAACAGGACTCAGTACATTCCAAATGAAATGAAAGTATATAAAGACTCAAAAAGTGATGCAAAGAAATTTATTGAATGTCTAATACTATATAATGATATATAATAAAAGACAAAAAGAGATGTTTTATCTTTATGTGTGGGTAAAGGCAAAGTCTAGAGTGCTTGTGTGCTGCTCAGTGTTTTAGGCTCTAGTAGAGTATATTATGATGAAACTGTGGTCCATTCCCAGCCTAAACCGACTCTTAGCCAGCCTATTACGTCTAACCACTGGTATTAATGACTTATTTAAAAGGACGCCCCCCCATGATACCTCATACTAACTCCTCAACTAACAGCACACCTCATGCGAAGTCTCTTCTCGGCTCCCATTAGACCAGGTTTAACGTACTGTGTTGTGTCTGACTTAAATCCCAAAGCAGTTCTTGAAGTCCCTACAGAGATAAAAGACAATTTATTCACCCTCATGTTGTTACAACCTGTTTGGCTTTCTTTTCTGTGCATGTCTTTCTTTTCAAAACATGCTCATGATTTTTTTGTCTATACATTGAAAGTCAATGGGGTTCAAAACGTTAAAACCACCAAGACATTTTTTCAAAATTTCGGTAGAATTAAGAAAGTCAAACAAGTTTAGAATGGGATGAGGATAAGTAAATAATGAGTCGTCTTTTTCTTTTTTCTTTTTTTCTTACCTGGTCAGTTTGGTGTCATATTTTAACACTATAGTTGATGCTTTAAAACATCATGACGCTGCAAAAAAAAATCATTTTCTTGCTGTTTTTGTCTTGTTTTCCTTTACAAACATCTATGAATTATCTATAAATTCTTAAATCAAGATACATTTACTTGAGAAGGAAAATGACTTAAGATATTGAGTCTTGTTTTCTGAAAAATGTATCCAAATGAAAAAATATTTCAACGTGGTAAGAAATATAATCTTGTTTTCCCATAGAATTTTGATATATTTTTCTTCTCAAGTAAATGTTCCTCAATGTTTAGATATTTGTACTGGAACATGAGACAAAATACTGTGTAAGGAAATCATTTTTATTTTGCAGTCTACTACAGTGTCACCTCGAGATTTAGACACCTGGAGCGAATGTGAGATGTTTCTTGAAGAAATGACCGAATTTACATGATGTAGCCTATCTGTAGTGCTCTAGCTGGCATAGGCACTTTAGTTCTGTGACTATCACGTGAGTCATTGGGAATCTGACAGCAGTGCCTTTAACATTGTCAATCTAGAGTTCTGTTTAATGCTGCACAGACGCCCCCTATTGTTCTCTTGTTGCAATGCACTCTTACGTTTTTCACTAACAAAGCCACCAACTTGTATCTTGTATGAATTCAGCTTGTGCTCCCCATTCTCTGAGCAGTAACTTATGAGATAGCCATCAGTTTGCAACAATGTTTGCGAATGTATTTCAACATATTCAATGCCTTCATCTTGCCACTGGTGATAAATGTTGGTTATTAGGCCATATGAAAAGGCGGTACATGGTTATTTGTGTATGTAGCAGAATCACGAGTGGTTAAAATTTCATGCATTCATTATTTCACTGCGTGTGTGTGTGTGTCGAATGCATCTTACAGAGGTTTTGTGCGTGTGTTTTTGTGACTAATAATGTTCCGAGGCAATTGGAAGGTGGATGGCTGTCACCCCGTGTTCCTTAAATGAACATCTTTATGCTTCAGGGCAGTTGTAAGAGTCTGATAGAGGAAGGATGCGTGGACGGGAAGATGTCTGTATTGAGCCGCACTGACCGCCACACAGGTAGAGCATATAACCTGTGTGTGTGTGTATATAGGTTTTGATTTAAAACTAACACTGTGATCGCTAACAGTTATCCCAATAAGAGCAAACCAGGTTTACAAATCACACTAGCGTTATGTTGTGCAAGGGTCCCTGCATTTGTTTTGCTTCTGTAAGCGTGGGAGAGAAAACGCATTGAACTTTTTTTTATTTTAGATGTCAGTTTTGTGTAGGATGTACACATTCATAGACGAATTGACGTGGCTGTTTTCGCATGTAGATGGATGATTCCTGTTTCAGTGCTATCTTTTTAAAATATGTTCTTTTAAATTTCTGGGACCATAGTTGTTGGGGCAACTTTTCAGACCTCTTTCCACACTGATATTATATATATGCGAATATAGTGTGTTTTCCCTATGGAGAAAGTTTAAGTTGTGTATATAGCCTGTAAATTTGGGGCTAAGTATAGACCTGACTGTCCATTTATATTATAAAAGGAGCAAAAAATAAACCAGAACAAATGTTAAATAAAATTAAATAAATCTTGATGCATTTACTTGTTTTGTGGACAATTGAGAATAATTTGACAGTCAAATAGAGAACTTTAAGGGATATTTTACCCAAAAATGAACATAAGTCAATTACTCTCCTTCCTGCATTTTCTGATGTTCTTTGTTTTGTGGAAAGATATTTTGCAGTGCATTAAGAGCCAAACAACTTTGAGACATTTCACAAAATAACTTTTTTCACAGATAAAAGAAGGAGATGACGACATGAGGTTGAGTAACTGAAGGCAGAATTTTCATTTTTGTGTAAACTATATCTTTAACTATATCTAGGCCTACCTCACTTTTAACAAATGATATCTGTTTGTCAGTTTGAGTAAAGCCATATAGTTATCAGAAAACTGATTATTTTTGCAAACAATTGAACCCGACAAATTTTGGGAGTCATGTTTCTATAGAAAATGAATTTTTAGCTCCAACCCTAATTAAACACACCTGAAGAAACCAACTAAACAATACTGCTTGTTAATAATCAGCTGGTGTGTTTGAGCAGGGTTGGAACTGAACTCTACTAACTAAACGGAAAGAAAAAAAAAACCTTTATACAGTAGCTCAGCCGTTGGTCACCATCCACTTTCATTGTATAGAGGGGAGAAACTCCGACATTCAGAAGTTTGGAATGATGCGATGAGGATGAGTCGAGTAAATAATGGTTTTCATTTTAGGGTGAACTGTCCATGTTCTGTTCACATGCATCAGTTCTTATCAGACTGTCGAATTGTATGTACAATGAATATAGGCCTCTAATATGGTGTGGCTCAGAGTAGAAAAAATAAAAAAGGTAGGCTAAGTTTGACTATATCTCCCAAATATGACTTAATATCCTCAGAATTACATTTTAATGTTTACACTGCTGGAAATGGTCGTTGCGTGCCTTATATTAAATGGTTTAGATTAACAATATGAATTTGTAATTGAAGAGTTCAGATGCAAAAGCCTCTAAATGCCATTTGAAATTTTCTTCTTTAATGATGATTTTTATCAAACTTGTATATTTAAGTTCAGTAATTTCACTTAAATAACAATTAATAGGTAATTATCATTGCCATTTAAGTGAAATTACTGAACTTAAAAATACAAGTTTGATAAAAATCATCATTAAAGAAGAAAATTTCAAATGGCATTTAGAGGCTTTTGCATCTGAACTCTTCAATTATACACATTACTCCATTTACACAAGTAAAAAACAAACAGGTGAGCAAGATGAGGAGCAGCAGGATCTGTGAATTAAATGCATTCTGGCATTTAGTATTAATGAGATGACACAGCACTAATTTTCACCCCTGGTGATCATCCAGCTAAGAGGGTTTGGCTGTAATCGAGATAAATATCAGGTCACAAATATGATTCTTATCCGAATTAGTCAATATGTGATTCATAGCATTTGAAAAAGGAGAATTGATTTATGCACCTTGGTTTTAATGTTTGGGCAGGACTTCAATTCATATCTTAGGATGGAGACTGATGCTGCCCACCTTAACCAAACCATGTGGAGAATATTGTAGTGGGAAAGTCCAGGTTACAATCACATCCAGGATTTTTCTTCACATAATGGACTTCAATGGGAACCAAATGGTTCAAGATCCAAAAGACAGTTTCAGGGCAAACTGCAAACTGTTCAAAGGGCTTTAAATATTTTCAGCTTGATTTTTTTTCTCTGGAAAAGATTCGTTCATTTTGATGAACGAGTTCGAACAGGAGAGTCATGAACGCGCATCACAGAACAGAGCAAGGCGACCATTTGAGCACATAAAACTTAAACTTTGTTATTTTTTTTAAGTGAGCGATCGTTTCGCTTGATAAGACCCTTATTCATCGTCTGGAATCGTTTAAAGCCCTTTGAACAGTTTGCAGTTTGCACTGAAAGTTTCTTTTGGACCTTGAACCGTTTGGTTCATTGAAGTCCATTATATGGAGAAAAATGCTGCATTTTTTTCATCAAAAACCTTCATTTATTTTCGACTGAAGAAAGAAAGACGTGGACATCTTCGATGACATGGGGGTGAGTAAATTATCAGCAAAAGTTTTTTTGTTTTTTTTAAGTGAACTACTCCTTTAATTATGAGACATGCAACGTTTACAATTAGTGGAGTATAATTTAGTTATGATACCATAACCTTTAGTATTATTGCGGCAATCAATCTGTTTTAAATTCCCACATCTAAGCTGTATGATATTACTGCATTTCACTATCACTTCATTTGAGTAATCAACATCTTAATATGGCCGACAATGTTTTGTTTTATTGAGATTTACATTTCACCAAGCACTTCTCAGTCCAATAAATATCAACAAAAAAACGATGAGATAATTTATCTGTTTAAACATCAAATGTCATGAGATAAGAACATTTACGTCATGTTCAGTTTATTCATTGTCACATTTGATCTATCATCATAAACCACAATTAAAAAAGAATGACTATAAAAAGCTAGTGTGTTTTACCATGGAATTATCAAAACTACATTTGAACACTGTTTATGACAACACACGCTGACTGTCTTTCACTCAGCCGGCTCTTAATTTGATCTTCCTCTGCTTGTGCACAGCTTATCTCATCCAAAGAGCCTTGAGTGCTGTTGTTATCAAACTCTGCGGCGTGATTGTCACAACCTTCCTCTTCAGACGCCTGGGCAAGAGCTCGGTTCAGTGTGGGGACGGTGTTAAACAGGATGAAACCAATGAAGATCACCACCAGTGACACGATATACAGTCCTGAGAACTGAGGAAGAACAGGTGAGAATGAAGTTTCCAGTCATACAATGTATTTATTTTTATGCAACATGGACTGGTTGTAGAAAATAAAATTTTCTTTTTATAAATAAAATACTTTTTTAAATAATAAAAAACTTTTTATAAGCAGAGGACACAGGGCACTTACAAAACCTTTACACATTAAAGAAATATAAAGCTCATATCACAATGACCTGGAATATTTGAGATAAAAACACAAGGACACAGCTAGATACGTCTGCCACTTGTGTTGATGTCAGGATTAAAGAGACCAGAGCAAAATAAGACCTAATTTAATATTAATTAATAATTTCTATTCAGCATTTATTTTTCGTTTAACGTTTTCTTAAATTAAAAGGTGGCCAGAAAAATGTGTAATAAACCTACCATTGCCGATTATAACTTTTATTACACTTACATTTGTAATTTGTAAGTGTAATAAAAGTTATAATCGGCAATGGTAGGTTTATGGAAATGGTAGGAAATGTTGTTGTTAGGATTTTTCTATTCATTAAAAAATCCAGGGACAAAAGTGTATCGTTTCCTCAAAAACATTAAGCAGCACAACTGAGCTGATTATAATAAGAAATGTTTCCTATATTAGTATGATTTCTGAAGGATCATGTGACACGGATTCAGCTTTGCGTCACAGGAATAAAATACATCTGAAATATGATTTAGACACGCCATGCTGGAGAAAAGCCCAAGAGGAAATAACATCCATAAAGTAAAAACATAAAATAAAGAATGTTTTTTTTAACTTTATGATTTTTGATTAACTAACTCTATAGTGGCCAAAAGTGATGTCCTGCGTCCTGAGTGTGTGTAAAGTAAATATGTTACTTACATTGTATTGGAACAAAAAGAGGCCACAAAACAGGCTGAAGATGTCTCCAGTGAGTAAGGACAGATTCACCGCTGTGGCACTGGTCATCTTTATCACCACAGGCATGAAGCTATAGAAGCCGTACATGCAGAGCGCATATCCAGCCAAGAGCAGAGCTGAGGAGAGAACACAAAAATCAAACCTCAGATGAGGTCATCGACATACTGTAAATGGAAGGACTTTTAATTTCACATTGCAGTACTTTACCAATTTCCCATGTCCACTGAATTTTAGACACTTCGTTATGTTCGAGAATCCCTCTGCAAGTGACAAAACACAACAGTGCAGAATGCAGATGATGTAGCTCTGACTTTTAGCATTAGGTCTTTCCTGAAGTTCATTAACACATCTTACAGTTGTATTCCACTGATGATTGACCCGAAGAGGCCGACCATTCCCAGAAATTCCACCCTGCTCAGATTCTTCACCGTGTATTCCTGGCACACATTGGAGATGGCATACAGAGTGGCACTGACTAGAACCAGACCATCACCGAGGAGAATGTCACTGGCTGTTGACACAGGAATAAATAATGGCCACGGTTTGATTTATGTTAGGTTCTGCGCTAAATTATCTTGTGGAGAAGCAGCTTGCCCCTCACTAGATCCCAGGTCTTGGCCAGCGAGGATGTCCGCTCCCACCATGGCTCCCACACCAGCCAGACATATACATACAGCTACATAGTGAATGATCCTATAGCGGGTCTTCAGGAAGAACCAGGACAAGATCATCAAAACCGGGATAATAAAGCAGTCCAGAAGCTGAAATGCAGTCAGTAAGGCCAGTTAGTCAAACAACAACTTGCCTTGAGAATTTTAATCAGATTCTGTTTTGCAATGTGTTACAGGTAGTGACACATCAGTGAATTAACAACATACACAACCATTTAAAAGTTTAGAGTTTTTTTGGGGAAAAAAATAATACTTTTATTCAGCATAGAATTAAAAAAAGACAGCCCTTCTCATCCCAAGGCGTCAAGTCTTGACGCTTTTGACAATGCGCATACGTCCAACGCACATGGCACCCTTTAGCGTCAATATGAGACGCATATATGGTCCAGAAGGCGCCTCCTAGTGGTCTAACCCTACCCCAAACCTAAACCTACCCATAACTGAAGCGTGTTATATTTGCCGCGTTTCCACTGCCGGGCCAGGGCCGGGCCGTGCTAGTGCGTGCCAGGGCCAGTCGCGTTTCCACTGTCACTTCCGGGGCTTGATCGGGGCTTCCTCAGGGCCAACGGCCAGGATTTCTGGCCCGTCGAATACCTTGGGCCAGAGGGGGCCAGCTCGGGCTAGAGGCGTGCTCAAGGTAAAAGGCGGAGTTTATCGGTGTTATGGAAGTTATGATCTGAAGCAAGATGCACATAGGGGTGTCCATGTTTAACCGATTAACCGTTTAAAATTGCATAACATTTTAATTTGAACTGTAGGCCTATGCCAAATGCTGCGCAACAATATATAGGCTATATATATAGCTACATATCGACGAATTTTTAGACATTTGTTAGATTTTTTTGCCCCTTAAACATTTAAAATATTTGACAAATTAATATGAAAAATATAGCTATATATTTTACTGGTTTTCTGAGGCCAAATTAGAACCTGGAAATGATATTTTCCCCGCAGTGCTGAATGAGAAGAGCCGTAACCACAGCCTAGAAAGGGGATTTATGGGTGATTTATAGGCTATAATAAATGTGTCTGATAATAAAATAATATAAAATAACGAGGCATTAATTGTTTATTAATAAACTATTGTTTTCTAAATGATTTTCGGCTAAAAACATATCTCCATCTCCGGATGCACATTTGAGAAATTAAGCTACATAAACATAGAAGATATTGGCTTTCGATTCGAATTTGTTCGTTTTAAATTGGACATTTAAAGCTTTAATCTACAAAGGATATAACCCCTGTAGACTAAAGCTTTAAATGTCCAATTTAAAACGAACAAATTCGAATGCGGTGGCTGTTTCAGGTCTCGCGCTTCAGTTCACGGAGATCATTAATTGTTAAAGCACAACGTTTTCTTGTTATAAATAAATTTATTTGCGAATAATGTATTATTATTTTCTGTATGACCAGAAATGAAAGAGTATTTTAAGTTGTTTCCACTGAAAGAAATGCAATGAAACTGCAAGTGTTCACATGGGCGTCTCGCAGCCATCAGTGCGTGCTCCACACACACTGGATATGCGTCAAAAATTTAAAGTTTATTTGTGCTTTGTTCCTTTTTTGGATAAAGGCGTCTTCTACATATGCAGCCTAATAAAATGTTACAATAATGATGATGATGGTTATTATTATTATTAGGCTATTATTTGCAGACACGGAGTTTTTGTGAAATGGACGTTTTGCTTATTTTCAATTGGCAATTTCAGTTTGAAGGGTGATGGAAATTTAACTGCTCCGGCTTTAACTGCTCCGTACTTGCTGCGTTTTATTTCTATAAATTAATTTCGTTTCAAATGGGGTCCAATCAGTTATTAAAGGTGTTAAAAATTCACTCTGTATCTCGAGGTTGCGGCGCGCACACTATGCACCGAGTATTAACCGATGGGCCTCGGTTAACGGTTAATGAATAACTTGAAAACGTGCCCGCAGCCCTACTTGTTATATCGCGTAAAAAATCGCAGCTTGAAATGGAGAATCGCCTGTACTGGTCTCGGGACACTATTGCAGCCACTACGGCAGGTGAGTTAATATACATGCTATCTTCCCAATTTAAAAAATAAATTAATTCATAATACCCGCTGAAATGGGTTGGGTTTTATGACGTTTGATCCTGAAAGGCGTGTTAGAGGTGGGGTCTGGGGCAGCGCTGTGGGGCTACTGGCCCGGCAGTGGAAACGCAAGCCCGGTGCTTGAGGCCCGAGGCCACTAGCTCGGCCCGGCCCTAGCCCGGCAGTGGAAACGCGGCTGACACTAAAGGGTGCCATCCATGTACGTTGGATGTATACGCATTGTCAAAAGCTTCAGTTTATGACGCTCTGGGATGAGAATGCGTTGAAAAAGAGTATAGGCATTTTTAATGTTACTTTTTTTTTTTCTAAAAATAGAATAATAGTATTTATCAAAAAAAAAAATCCTGAAAATGGTCTTGATCAGCAGCATATTATAATAATTTCTGAGTGATCATGTGACATTTAAATTCAACTTTGCTGTCAGGAATTACATTTTAAAATTCATTATAATATTTGAAAACACAACTGTTTTTACTGTATTTTTCATCAAACCAATGCAGTCTTTGTGAGCATAAGAGACTTATATATATACTGACCCCAGACTTTTGAATGGTAGTTTATGTAAACACACCGTATATCAACACATTCATAAAACTTTGTCACCTGTATGCTAGTTAATGTGGTGTACTGGTACGCTTTCACCACTGCATAATTCGCCTCCACATCTATCAGTCCCAACAATAGATACTTCCACCATTTTGTCTTTAATATCTGCAAAATATTGCCATCACCTACATTAAAAGAGAGATATCCTGAATATTACGTCCAAAAAACATTAGTATTCTGAAAAATGTTTAATGGTTGATCAAGAATGAAACGCAACAACTAAAATAATTACTGATGGATTTGTGATCAAATACCTCTTCTGAAGATCAGTGCCATGGTGTAAGTGATGCCTAGGAGGCTGTAATTAATAAAGCTCTGCAGCATGGGTGTATCTAGGTAATAAATGGACGCCAGATACTGAGATGTTACAGCAGTCCCACAGATCAGTGCGGAGAGGCTTTGACCCATCAGCAGAGTTTTGAAAAGTTGCCTGCAATGAACAGTTGCTTGAATATTTGCTTGAATGAACATTTGCTTGAATGTTCACCATTGGATGAAGGTTTTGAGACCGGTCAATCATGCACTATTAATAAATCCTCTGAACCATCTGGCATACTAATGATCACATACTTATACACATTCAAAATATAAATAAATACTAAAATAGTCTATAAATAATACTAAAAATAACACTAAACCCTGGTGATAATTTTATACACGACTTGAGAATGATTTTCAAGTTTAGCCTCAGAATACAGTATATAAACAACACTGAATGTAAGCTTGCATCCACTTACCATGTGAAAATATCCCTCCATTTAGGCAGTCCTTCTTTTATTTTATAGCAGAGAGTGTCCACCTGCTCCTGAGGCATCTTGTGTCTCCTCTGTGAATCTGTGAATAATAAGATCAATCATTTACAGTATAGGAAACAAAGTGCACAGCTGTAGGGATCTTGAATTCACCGTGGGCTAATGATGAACTTTAAGCTTAGGTTCTGGAGAGATTTAGAGGACAAGAGTTCACATTACAAACAGTTAACCTGTTTTGACTCTGATTATCTTCCAGAGACACCCATGAGGGTAATTGCGCTGGAGTTTGTATAGGACAAGTGACCTATGGTTTAGCTGTCGCTGAGCACCAGAGGTGGACAAAGTACACAACTTTACTTGAGTGAAAGTACAGATACTACTGGTCAAGTATAACTCCGTTACAAGTAAAAGTTGTAAAGACCTATTTTTACTTAAGTAAATGTACAGAAGTAGTTCCAGTAGTGAGATTGAATGTGAGATTGAATAATTGCACTCAATTATGTCCACAATGTTTCGGACACTCAAATGGCTTGTAATGGGATTCTAAACATCATGAGTCTAAACATCAAGCACATCAGTCGGGTTCTGACGTCAACCTGACTTTCATTTCCAACAAAAATCCAATTTGTAACAGCTCGACTGTGGAGAGAGTCAGCAGCACTAAATTTCTGGGGGTGCTCCTCTGGCCAAATTATCAAACATATTGCGATTATGATTCCAGGCTGCATCACGTCAAATTATGGAACGTCATAATATTATACATAATTGTAAGCATGACGAAACTGTGTTATGGTCCTATGTAGGTCTGGTATAGCCTCTGTGCTGAGGACTGTACTGAGGACGGACCAAATAAGTTTTACATTAATTAAAAAAGAACTGTCCCATAAGAGTAATTATTTGGCGAATCATGGTTGTGCCGTGTGTTTTTCATGAGTTATAAAGTGGTCTCTCGTGGTCATTAAATAAATGAGACTAATCAGTTTCACTCTCCCCTATTTTACAAAAAAATCTCACCAAGGCTCCGGGCGCCACATCTCCACTTCAGACTGTCTGATGAATGGCTTGTATTGTGCTCTTCCTCACTGGAGATTTGGATCACCTGCTGAATGCAAAAACGTACATATTTTAAAGACCCACTACATCGGATTTCAATGTAGTTTTCTTTTTATCTGTCTTCCCTCAAATAGTATGTTACACTATACCTCCTGAACAATTTTCTACACCATTTTTCCTGCTTAAACCATTTATGTTGTAAAAGCTCTTCCAACGTTGGTGTCTTCCCTGGTGGACCAAGGCACTGATCCATGAAATCATAGCATTCTGTAAGTTTTCATGAGAGACCTGGTTAGTCATGCACATTCATTATGACCATGCAACACCTTAAACTTTGTACGTAAAACTCTGTGAACATAGAGGCGCTCTGCTATGTTTTACATGAGCTCAGTTGAATTTTACTTATACAACAATTATTTTCAGTTCTATCCCTTTTTTGTTGCTTTTGGTGAGCGGATTGTGCTTTATATTTGTGTTTAACAATGCAATTGCTTTTGGCATTGTGTGTTTGTTTTTGGCCAAGTCCAAGTACCTTTGGAGAAACTGGAATTGTCATCCACTAACTGCATTAGGATTACACCCAGAGACTTGACTGTTTCTGCGACAGCTTCAGTTTTGATCTCTATCCAAAAAGAAAAACAACAGATTTTTTTTTTTTTTTGAGAACTAAGAGACAGTAAGTTTATTAGTCACTCTACAAAAGACAAAAAGGCCAACTTACCTGAATTTGTAATTGGCAGACCAAGGCCAAAGTCTATTAATTTGATCTCCAGTGTCTTTGTGTTGACCAGTATGTTCCAAGAATGGATATCATTGTGGAAGACACCTTGGGTAACACATTGATTTGCTGCGAGCAATGCTTGAAGCACCAAGCCACGTATCACTTTTTCCTTCAGATGACGTCTGCTTTGAATCATGAATTCGTCCAAAGTCATACAAGGATGTGGATATTCCATGATGATTATGTGTCGATCTGCCTCTTCAAACCAGTCCAGCATCTGGACAATGTTGGGGCTGATCGAAGGTTCTTTCACCAGCAGATTGAGAGCCACTTCCTGAAACAGAGGCTGGGAATACCCAGGCTAGAAAAGTATTCCTCAAAAAGATTAGCTTACTACTGCATGTGTGTGCTTGATTTCTCTCACTATTTAATAAACAGTAAACATGAAATTAGATATATTACACGTCATTAGATATAATCTCACCAACTTACAATCAAAATATAACGGTCCTCTCTACTCTTAGGGACACATTTGATAGCGACCTGAAAATATGAATAAATATGGTAAATTAATCACAGCAAAAATTCATTTAAAATGTATTTAATTAAAATGTAATTACAATCTTCAATGTAAAGTTTTGACGCCAGTTTTGATCTAAACTGGAAATTGATATAGGTTATAACTTCAAAGTTCACAAAATATAATGGACAGATAAAAGGATGGTTAAGTGTCTACCTTCTTGCCATCAGATTTGCGAGTCCCCACAAACACACTGCCAAAGGCTCCTTGTCCCAGTTTCTCTCCCACTCTATAAAGCGAGTCAAATAGAGCTGGAAAAAAAACAATACACACACATTCTAATGCTTGTTTCTTTGATAGTCTTACATGAACTCATTGCATTGCTGGCTGTGACTTTATAGGCAGAATAAATATTCATCTGAAGAATGTGGATATTAACAACTCGTACACTATAGGGACATCTGTCAAGCAATAATAAAACTGAAAATAAAGACAGAATTCACATGAACCAGAGTAATAATAAGGCAATGAAACCAACGTATGTCAGGCGTGGATGTGACACGGGAAGGACCTGGCTGGGGATCTTCTCTATCTGTGGCGGGCTGTGGTGAAAGAGGTGCCACTTTGTTGCCTATGTGACATATTCTCTTGAAGAATGAATAGATGCCTTTCTTCTTCTTTTTTGTTTGTTTTTCTGAATAAATAGATGGGTTATCTTTAGAATTCAAACACAGAGACTAGACTTCATTGTTGAAACAAAAATATGACCAAAAATTAAAGGCACAAAATAAAGGTCTTTAGGCCTAACTTCAACTCCCAACAACTGGCCGCTGTGGTTTCACAGATTAGATTTAGATTAACCAGGATTAGGCCTCATAGTTAAATTGTGACATTTAAGTATTTTGTAAATATACATTAAAACAAAACATTACTTGTTTGCATTTTGGGGAAAAAAACAATATAGCACTAAAATGTTTTAATCTAGGCCTATCTCAGTGCACGTTGCTTTCAGTTAAAACTCAAAAACTGCATTTTAGCCCAGGACTAGCCTTAAATTTTGTCTGTGAAACAGAGCCTAGTTAAAGCAAGATTATATCTTAAGATTTTAGGCTTTTTAAAAAAATGTTATTTCTATATGAGTGTTATTGGAAAGATTGCCTTTTGGATTTTTCTCCATAGTCGCTGCTATATAAGAAGCCTGTTTCTCTTCTGAAGCAACTGGTCGTTCTTCCATCATCTTCACAGCATTAAATATCCCAGTCTGGAAGTAATGTTGAAAGCCTCACGCTCAAGTGCACTTGTAGACATGAAGATTCACACTGAACAGAAGCGATAGAAAAGATCTTGTCAATAGAAAAGACTAGCTATATGTCTTTGTGACGTCATATACTAAACATTCGAAACATTCTTTTTTTGTTGTTGTTGCTGCATGCTGGTGACTCTTAGGGTCGTTCCAATTTCAATTAAGAAATTTTGACATTTATGATTTATGTTTTAAAAATATTTATTAGCTATAGTATTATTTGTCATATATTGTTTGTTTGTTTGTTTTTATTTTTTATGTGTTCTTGTAATAAAGTCTTCTGTTTCGATCTGACTGCTGTTTGCTATTTGCAAAGGACATGCTAGGCTACTTTAATGTTTTTTTGCATTAAAGTGTGTGATTGATGAATTGTTTTAAAACCAAGTTTGTCACACAAACAGTATAATACGTAATATACAGTATAAGCCGGACTGAAAAGGAGATAGGCCTATTATATTGGAGTCGTTAAAATATTTCGATAATTGAAAGAAAATATTTTTTTTTTCAAATATTTTCACCACACTGTTAATTATTGAGATAGGTCTGTAGTTATTAATGTCATGTTGATCACCGTTTTATACAATGCAGTAACTCTAGTACGTTTCCAGGATACATGTAGGTCAATGATAAATTAAATAAAGCAGACAAATGATAAGACAGGACATGTGAGGCCATTTTCAGATTCCAATCCATATCTGGCCCTGCACTAGGCTACTATCTGAATCTAAACTGTCGTTAACTTGCTGGACTTCTATTGGACTGATGGATTCAAATTAAGGAGAAGGAGTTTTCGCAAATATGATTAGAAGAAGTATTAAAATTAGGGTTAGGAACAGAGAAATCAGTAGGCTAGATATAGAACTCGCTTTGGTGAAAAATTGATTAAATGCATCAGCAATTTCAAAGGAATCATTGATAATTACATTATTTATTCGAATGAAATTAGCTTTATACCTTTAGCTACTGAAGTTCATAGTAGCCTAATAGGCAAACAGTCCGACAGACGAACAGTATACTAGCAGTAAAAAGGTAGAAAAGAGAGCTTACTCACTCATACCCACATACACATTTCTACATAAAGACATAATCTAAATAAAATAGAAAATTAGACAAGCTCAGTCTGTTTTGCATTTAGTTAAATGGACTAGGAAATATTAATAAAGTCATATTGATGGTGGAAGCCTTTAATTAAAACCACAGAAATAGCCTATACAATAATATATTTGTCATCGTTTTTGAATTAATAGATAATAAGATCTCGCATTTTAGGATTATTTGAAATACTACGAGAATAGTCTCGTGTTGAATCTCCAGCTCGAAAGATGGCGCTAATGAATCACATTTACCCTGTTCATCGACAACGGTAAAGAAGCATTAACGTCAGCACAGTCAGGAAATAAAACGTTTGTTTACTGTTTACAATGATGGAGGATGAAGAATTAGAGTTTGTGGAAGATTTGGAGGCGATATTACACCTTACTCCAGAAGTGCAGCTGGCCATTGAGCAGGTAAGTGATCATTTGGGGTTGAGTCTGTTTTTATTGTAGTCAGTCAGAGTGTCTTCTCATGAGATGCTAATAGCCAGTTTAATACTTCTCCATTGAAGCCCCCTAAAATGTTTTATCTTGTCTGTGTTGTAATTATCATTTAATTTTTTTGTTTACGTAGATAACTGTTGTCAAAACCGAATTTGTTTTAAAACGACGGACCCCCAAACGTAAATTTGTCATCGCTAGCTTGTATGGTGGGATGTGACTAAAGTTAGACAGGAAAAAAAAAATTGACACATTCAAGATTTTAAACAAGGGAGTCCGTTTAGGCATAAAATGAAGAACTTAAATTGCATTCTGCAATTTCTGTCGAATTATATTTGAATTAAGTATTTATTGGGGATTGTGAATGTGTGAAATGTACTAATAGTGTTAGTCTATGTTCTTAACACAATGTTTATTAATGTTTACCAAAACGCAGTGAGAAAGAAAAATACCTAGACTAAAGAATCATCACTGGAGAAGAATGATGTGCAGAATTGTTTTAATTGTTAATTGAACAATAATAATTCTAATCCAACATTTAATGTTCAACAATTTTATTCATTTGGCTCGATGATGCAATTTTCTTCTAGAAACAAACTTTGTTATATTATTTTCATGTTATCACTGTGAAGCTGGTTTGATACAATCTGTGTTGTAAAAAGGCGCTATATAAAGAAAGGTGACTTGACTTGACTTCCTCTGGCTCCAGTTGAGTCCAACATCAGGAATAGCCTACAACTGGCTCTTTAGATCTATGTGTTAAGGTCTTTGGTGCCACCTCAATGGACTCCAGTGCAGTAACGCTTGTTGTTAACTTCAGACTCACAGAACATCTGATACTCAATCAACAGACACTGCTTTTCTTGGCTTGACCTTGTCATATGACGTCTGTTAATTTTTTTTAGGTTTTCCCCAGCCAAGACCCTTTGGATCGAGCTGACTTCAATGCTGTTGAATACATTAATACCTTGTTTCCAACAGAGCAGGTGAGTCTGAATTAGAATACTTGCTTGCATAATGGTCAACATTATGAATATACCTTCATTCTGAAACTTTTAGTTCTGAGCAATATACTATGCTCAGAACTTAATCAAATTTAATGCCTGTCTATCTGTGTATTGGTCACCCATACTGAGGCTAGTGACCATTATAATACTACTAATATTTATTCTTTTTTTTCAGTGTGGCCTATTGAATGTTCATATTCTTGGCCACTAGAGAGCGCTACTCTCTCTGAACTTGAAAATCTTATTTTTGTTGACTTTTAAAAGAGATAAATGAAATTAAAGGATAGCTGATGTATTTCAGTAGTGTTTATGTATCCCCCCTTATTATTTTGTAGTCATTGGCGAACATAGACGATGTGGTGAATAACATCCGACTTAAAATCAGGTGAGTTTTCAATATTTAGACCCTGATGTGGTCTGCATTTATATGTGGAGGTTATTGATTCTTATTAAATTCATATTGCATATAATTCCTTTAATCAGACGGTTGGACGACAACATCAGGACAGTGGTGAGGGGACAGACTAATGTGGGACAAGATGGCAGACAGGTGAGCATTTTGGTTCCACATACATAATGTCAGATCAATGTCATATGTTCTGTTGTGATCCAATCAAGTGATTTATAACTTTGAATAATTTAAGATCAAAATAATAAATAGTTTTCAGGTAATAGGAATAAATGGCAAATCAATAGGATTAAAGCAATGATCTGGGTTCATCAACATTATGCCACATGGTGTACCAGGCTGTAAGATGATTTTTTCATGACTGACTTTCTTCTGTGGAACACAAAAGAAGATTTATTGAACTGTTTTTGTCTATAAAATGAAGGTCAATGGGGTCCAAAACAACATCCCACTGACTTTAATTGTCAGCCCCACATTTTTAAAAATATCTTCCAAACCTGTACAACTTTCTTCTGTGGAGTACAATAGAACAACATGAGACATAAATGATGTTTGGGCGAACTAAATAAGTGTTTTTGTGCTCTAATCAAATCATTGTAGTGGCTAAAGCAGCTTTCGAATGTTGTCCTGTGCGCGGTAAACCTCTCTGTCCGCTTCACAGCTCTCGACATTATGGATGTCTTTTGCATCTCTTCCATCTCACTTCTCTGGAAGTGACCGAGGTTCTTGAAAGTCCCAGATGCTTTGTCTTCCTGGAAAGGAAGGCACACTTTACCCCGAATTTTCCTGTTCTCTGCAACGGTTCCATTCCACATTGTGGTTTAGTGTCCTACTATTTCTTGGACCAGGCTGAAAATGTTGATTCAACACAGATCTTTTCTTAATCAGAGCAGCAGGCTGAGGTGAAATGCGATTGGGTTGGTAAAAGCCAGTGTGGTTGATGCCTATGAGTGGGGTCAGATGAGCTTGAATTACCCAGCATGCACCGCTTTTGGAAACTTGTCGTGTCTGGAGGGATCGCTGTTAATGCGGGGCCACGAGTCTCACGGCCCGTAGCCTTCTGAGTTGTTTCCACAGAGCAAAGGAAAAATCCTTTCAGCAGATGGGATGGCGGGGAAGTGTGGATTACACATCCCAACTCGAGGCTAGGAGTGATGGTGGAGACAGCGGGAGAGGACTGGAAAGACCCTCTGAAGCTTTTTTTTGTTTAGTCTGTGTAGTATTTATCAGTGAGATGGAGACATCCGTGTCTGGAACGGGATCCCAAGGGTCTGCTTGATGACATTTCTAGCTGTGTGGAGGAGGTGGACGGATGTGTTTGTCTTAGCTGAGTATTTTCACCTTCTCCCCTGTGGTAAAGAAAATGCTAAAGTTAAAATTGTGCATCGAGCATCTTATATGTGACTGAGTCTGTTTGAAGTTTGGATGAAGCTGAGGGCTTGATAAATAGTGTTTGAGGCAGTCACAACACAGATGTTTCACCCTGTTTAAAGTCCCAGACTCCTCTCTGGTTTTGTTATCGTCTGCCTGCTGTTTGGGTCTCTGTTGTTTTAGAATAATTGAGATTCTATGTTGTTGTTTTTTTACTATTCTGAATTGGTTTTCAATTTATTTATTTATTTTAGTTTTTAATTTTTTAATATGTACATACATTTCTATTCATTTTAATTGTAGCTATTTTAGTACATCAAGTCAAACTGAATGAAACTGAGAAATGGTTCCTCGGGAACTAGCTGAAATGAAATTACATTTGTATATGGTTTCAGTTAACTATAATAACTCTTATGTGGATTAAGTGGGGAGTTGAAGGGGGGCGGGGAGTCTTTCCCTGACTTTTCTAAACATTTTGTGGTTCTTATCAACATTTATTTGCAGTGTGAGTAAAGTACTATTTTATATTATTGTTAATGGACAGAAACCTATTTGGAAATATTTTCTGAATTGGAAAAGCATTTGACAATGTGGGGAAACTTGTTAGATTTGTGATATCATTCATAAAGTAAAATCAACAGTGAGCCAAAACATTTGGTGTGAATTATTGGAGGAGTCCCTCACTTTGCCTGCCCCTTTGTCTCACGCAGGGTTTGCGCTAATATACATTATTTTCCTCAGTGCTGCAGAAAGTTCCATATAAAAAGTTTGCCATGTTGTTGTTCCCAGATGGAGCATTCAGATGAGAGGTTTATAGCTGTCAGGGAGCCAGTTGGGATCAGGATGTCTCATGTAGTTTTTGGCATCTGGAGCTGCTTATTAGGAATGCCAAGAAGGAGCCTCCCCAAGAATGTAGTATAAATATTTAATCTAAACACAGGATGGAAAGTTTGCTGCATGTGTGGTTTTCTATTAGTCGTTATAGACTGATCTCTGATTGTCCCTTTGGAGTTGTTTTAGTCATCGCAGGCTTTGTTGACGGGTTTTATCGACTTAATGCCTATGTTTTAACCCTTGTTTTTTTTTTTTATTTCTTGTATGGTATTTGAGTATGTTAAAATTTATTAAAAGTATTTGTTTTGAAATTGAGCCACTGTACATTTTGCTGATGTCATAAAACTGTCATATCAACAATTTAATTTAGCTAAATAGTTTAACAGAATTGTTGAATACATGGAATACAGAAAATGGGCTTTTACAAAGAGTCTCATCCAATCAGGTTTTTACTGACTTTTAAAATAAATTTTACTTTCACTAATACAGTGAGACATTAAAATGGGTAATACAAAAAGAAATTAAAACTGCAAAGGAGGCGACACAACCATTCAAAAGTTAGGGGTTGATGAGATTTCTAAAAGAAAAATGTTTTTGACGAAAGTCTCTTATGATCACAACGGCTGCAATATTTGATTTAAAATATAGTATTTTGTAAATGTTGTTTTAATGTCATTTTAAATGTATTTTTTAATCCTGCGACGGTAGAGGTGAATTTTCAGCATCATTAGGTGTACTATTTCACATTTTTGTGGAAACACAGATGCATTTTTTCAAGATTCTTCAAGAAATAGAAAGTTCAAAACAACAGCATGCATTTATAATATATATTTTGGTAGTAATGTAAAAGTCTTTACTGTCACTTTTGGCAACTTGCTAAACAAAAGTATTAATTAAAAATAAAAACTCTTACTGACCCCTGACTTTTGAACAGTAGTGTACATCCATTCCAATGTTGCTTTTAGTCAATATTTAAGCAATTTCTAGGTAATGACATTTAGAGTATACAAACATAAAAGGGGATAACTAGGGTGGTCATAATCTCTTCAGCAATTATAAGAAAATAATTACATGAAGGATAATCACCATTAGTGCACGTGTGGAATGCTGTAAATGATTGACCACATTATCATTATCGGTCTCATTCATGCCTGTCAGCAGCTGTTAAACTGTCCTAATAATCAATATTTTCTTTCTCAGTGCTCCTACATATTCTTTAGTCGAGTCACAACGCTACAGGGAAATGTAGCAGGCATCCCAGCATCCATGTCGTCCTGTAGTCTGTGGCCTGCCTAAACCATCTGTGGGTGGGGGGGGAAACATCCTGAACCTGCAAATAGAGTCCACATGCATAGCAGCTGCTCTCCTTCCTGCCAGATCCAAATAAACCTCTCTCTTTCTCTTTCTTCTGATCAGCAGTATAAGAAGGAGATCCAGAGACTGTCCTCCAAAAAGCAGTGCATTTTTCTAACCTCGGGAAAAACGAGTCTGGATAGCTTCTTCTTGTGCACAACTACAACATGGCCACTTTAAGCTAGATGCATCCCAGTTAACACCTGGGCTCTAGTTCTGCTTTTTGTTCAAAGCCGTTAAAAGTCTTGGCATGACCTTGCAGTACTGCAATTTGAAAGGAGAATTGTTTTTTTGAAAGGAGGATGCATTGCTGTTAACATGGCGTGGCTCAAAGCACCTCTGTGTTTTTGAGGAGGCTTGTAAAAGTGGTAAATTCCAGGGGGCAGCTGGTGCCGGCTGTTAGCATTCCATTTGCCTGTGAAGAAGCAAGGCAAAAGGGACGGCCAAACTTTCTCCACTCTCAGCCCAGGCACGTCTCTGAATACATTGGCAGCAGCCAGTATTCCCACTCATCCAGTGTTGCAGCTGCTTTTAAAGGAAGTAGTAATTATGCATTGTCAGAGTCCAAACACTTCCAGTGTGGCTGCAGTGGGAGGTGTGCCACTTGCTGTGACTGCATTCGAGTGGCCAGGAAGGTCGGGAGCCTTGTGATGTGGTGGCATCAGGTGGGGCAACATGTGGACGGGCCAAAACTGCAGCTGCTGCAGTCTTCGCATACAAGAATGTCAAGTAAAAACTGGTTTCATCAGGCCGTGCGGTTTGTTCCCCACCCTGTTGAAGCACAGACATCTTCCCACTAAAAATAATATACTGTAGTAGCTGAAGGGTTAGGAGGGCAGGCAGGAAGCAAGTTCATTAAAATGTCATTCAGCCTGTATTTTCATATTAAATATGGGTTCATTATTAATTGCTTTTGATGTGGCTGTAAGATTTAGATTGAGTGTCTTGTTTTTCTAATCGCCTAGTTTGAAAGCAATGAAACCAGCCCAACGCAAACTGAACTCAAGCCAGTAAACTTCAGGTTGCTGTTTCACAGAAAACATTGAACTGACGGCGAGCTGTAAGAAAACGCTACCGCGGTGCTGTTTGGGTCATCTTAGATCTTTTGTCTCCTCTTCCAGGCATTGGAGGAGGCCCAGAAAGCCATCCAGCAACTCTTTGGCAAAATCAAAGACATCAAAGACAAAGCGGAGAAATCGGAGCAAATGGTGAGTAAAAATAAGCCTTCTAGACAGGAACCTAGTCATTTAAGGTCTGAAAGTCAACCCAGAGTAAATAGCCATTCACCACCCACCCACCCCAACAGGCTGGGTAACTAAGGCACAAGAAACTGTGACATCCTGTGGTTTTGTCCACAGCACTCTTTGAGCCCAAGGTAATGCACTGGCCATCTGTGAATGCTATGCAGTGCAGAACTGAGGAAGGGCAAGGGGAGGAAGGCAGGAGAACAATAGCAATAGCTGTCCCTGTGTCCCCTGCAATATAAAGAAGGGTGGATGAAATATCGGTAACATAAAGGTTATTAGCCAATATTGGAGTGTTTTTAGTATTGAATAAATAATAATGATAAATCATCTTTAGTATTGGATCAATAGTAATTGAATTGTGCAGGTTCATTTTGTCTATTTTTAGAAAATGGATTACCTTTGCCATCATTTAATGCTCACGTTCTCAACACTAATAATTTAATAACACTTTGAAAAATAATCTTGAGTGTGTGTGTATATATATATATATATACTTTATGTATGTATGTGTGTATATATATATATATATATATATATATATATGAAGAGTTCAGATGCAAAAGCCTCTAAATGCCATTTTAAATTTTCTTCTAAAATGACCATTTTTATCAAGCTTGTATATTTAAGTTCAGTAATTTAATTTCACTTAAATGACAATTAATAGGTAATCTTCATTGCCATTTAAGTGAAATTACTGAACTTAAATATACAAGCTTGATAAAAATGATCATTTTAGAAGAAAATTTAAAATGGCATTTAGAGGCTTTTGCATCTGAACTCTTCATATATATATATATATATATATATCTATATATATATATATATGTGTGTAAAAAAACACTAAATTATTGATGGGATTCCTAAACTTACTTGTCACGTTTTTGATTGATTTTTATTTTTTAGTGTTGACCAAGTTGAATGGACTTTTTTTTTTTTCATCATCAGCAATAAAGTTACATTTTTCGCTAATTTACAAAATAATGTAATCTAATATAATACCATTCATAGGTTTATGTTCAAACAAATGTAAAACTAACAAATGTTATTCTTTTGACCTTTCTATTCATCAGAAAATCCGGGAAAAATAAATGTTTTCAACATTGATAAGAAATGTTTCTTGAGCACCAAATCAGCATCATAGAATAATTTCCATAGGGTATTGTGCTATAATATAATATTAGTGCTTTTATAGATTATTCATGATTAATCACATCTAACATAAGTTTTTGATTACATAATGTGTTTGTATATATAATCATATTTATATATTTGTGTGTGTGCATGTCCGTGTGTGTATATAGTATGTATACACACACAGACATGTGTATATATAAATATAATAATGTATGTACACATTATGTAAACAACATCTTTGTTGGATGTTATTAATCTAATTGAAAGCACTAAATATAGTATTATACATACAGTAATATTATAATTATTATCAACCAGAATCGAAATATCAGTGCAGATATCAATGCGTCTAAAAAAAAATTCTTCAGGTGAAAGAGATCACACGGGACATCAAGCAGTTGGACCATGCAAAGCGTCACCTGACGACTTCTATAACCACCCTCAATCACCTGCACATGCTGGCTGGCGGTGTGGACTCTCTTGAGTATGTTTATTCAACTTACCTTTTCCCAAGAACAGTATGTTTGCTCATTCATAGTGGTGTGCTAAAAACTTGTCTTGTTGTACCTTTGCAGAGCTATGACTCGAAAGAGGCAGTATGGGGAGGTGGCCAATCTCCTTCAGGGTGTAGTCAACGTGCTTGAGCACTTCCAGAAGTACATGGGCATCCCCCAGATACGCCAGCTCTCAGAGAGGTAAGGATACAAACACAAGGCTCTCTCAACACTGTTTATTTGACTAAATCAGGTGCTGAGAGTCTGAAGATCCTGTTTATGTTTACTGAAGATGAGCACAGGAAGGAAATCTGCTTCACAGTGTCTCATTATTTACTTTTCCCCCCACTTTGGAGCTTTCCCAGAGCGGAAAGCGTCTCTTTGTTTCAGGCCTTTCCCAGTGGAGGTGCTTTCTCTGGTTTGGGTGGTGCTGTCCACGTCCCCTGCAGGCTCGGAGACTGGGCCTTTTGTTCGGGTAGAAACGAGGCTCCGGTCCCTATGATTCTGTGCTTCCCATTGCTTGTTTATGTTGGATGCTCTGATAAGGCTGTTGTTTCATAAGCAGATGGCAAGGAAGGCTGTGTTTGATGTGGAAATGTTATTCCCCTGGTTGTTCCAGGTTCTAAATGTTTCTCTGGAAAAGCATGTATCTGCAGTTCCTTTTGAGTGCCTCTGTAGTCAAGTTTACCCATTCGGTTCATAAGAACATTCACAGGCGTCCTTGAGTGATGATGAGAGTTTGTTTGGATGAACGTGCATTTGTACATCAAGCGAATCCAGTGTTTTTGTTAAAACAGCATTTAAGTGTGCCAAAGTACATCATAGCTTTTTTTTTTCTTCTGACCGCTGCTTGACTCATTTTTTTTTTCTTGTCCGTTTCTTTTTGTGGTGTAGAAAGAGATTATATTTGATGAGGGTGGGGATTTTGCCTAGGAATTTCCAATGTAAATAATATTAGCCCCCCCTTTGGTGATCGGATGGGCTGATTTTAGTGATGTTGTTTTGAACTACACAAGCTTAACGCATATTATGAGGACAAAAAAAGTCTTGTGATGCCTTATTGGATCTTTGTGATGTTTAATATTAGTACATGCCAAATATGGAGAAACTGAGATGCTTTCTTTCCGAGCCCGACTGTCCCTAAATGGAGATGTCTGGTTGGTTGTAACTTAAGGTGTGGCAGAGATGTTTCAGAGATCAGGGGTGGCAGCTGAGGGATGTGCTGTGGTTCAGACAGTGTGGAGGTCTTAATGGAGCTGGTGAGAGAGCAAATTGGCAGCCATGTGGCACGTTGAAGACTGGTGTCTGACTGGCAAGTGCATGTGTCTCCGTCTCTCTCTTTCACTCACTCACTCTCTCTCCCTCTGAGTATTTTGTTGTTTATTTTGGATGAAAATTGTGCCAGCAACTGATTCAAGAGCATCTTCTAATCAAGTTGTGTTTCTTCCAGACCCTTTTGGTGGAATTGGTCTTGTGTTACACTGTCTCTGATATTTTTAGTCAAAAGTACAGCCTCATTGTTTAATAGAATTTAAATTTACATCTGTTTTCATACATTCCCAATTGCCAATAGTTCTAATTCAAGCCAATATTTTAGGAGGGATCTAGGTACTAGCTATTCACATTACTCTATTTGTCGAGTCGAGATTATAAACAAAGCCTCATTATAAACAAAGCATTTAATTAAAGATTGGGTTGGCAATGTTTTTCAGAAACAATTTTTGTTATACTGGTTGAAACACTCTTAAGATCCTGATAGCAATCATAAGAATGGAAGTGACTTAAATAATAACAAATGTACATATACCTTCTGTGGAAGTCTCAGGACCAAAACATTTTTGTCTTATCATTGCATTCGGTCCGACTTTAGAAGGATCCCAGAGTCGGAAACAAGTGGATGGTTTATTTTAATGGCGTCCTGGATTGAGTTGGAGGATTCAGGATTGTATGTTTGTTCTGAGCATTTTGAGATGCAGTAGAGTTCGCAAAGAAGCTTTTGTTGAAAGATGAAGCAGTCAACTGTAATTTTGGATAAAATTGGATCTGAATGCAGCTGCATCACAAACCGCAAGTAAATTATTTCATAATGCTTTGTCTGTAAATTACAGTTTTGAATAGATAATGTTTTCAAAACACTTACTTGCGTGCAATAATGAGTGGGTGTTAATGCAGTTTCCTATGCAATGACGATGTTAGCCAATCATAACAGTGGCATTTACAAGGCTTAAAGGAGCATTAGAAAACCGATTTTAAAACACAGGGTCAGAATGAAAGTCGAAAATAATAGTTTTTCCGCACACACACACAAACCCATTTAAATTCAGTTGTTATTGTACAATTTAGCTGGTGTTGCTCTAGATTCTTACATTTGGTGTCTTGACTTAATTGTTTTGATAATCTCACTAGATCCCAGGGAATTCTGAAACTACCAGGTGTCTTGTAAACACTAACCCGTGTGTTTTGCCCCTCCTCAGAGTTAAAGCCGCACAGAGCGAGCTTGGTACACAGATATTGGCTGACTTCGAGGAGACTTTTCCTGCCCAGGGGTCAAAGGTACAGATATTGCGTTCTGATGAAAAGATATTACAATTAATCATCTTTTAGTATTAATGCATAGCTAGTCTCTGTATATTTCCTGTGACAGATAAAAACATTTAGCTTGTTATTTACAGAAATCTGGTGGTCCTAGCATTGTTCTCAGAGATGCCTGCTTGGTGGCGAATGTCCTGGATCCTCGGATTAAGCAGGAGATCATCAAAAAGTTCATCAGGCAGCACCTGTCAGAATACCTAGTTCTCTTCCAAGAGAACCAGGATGTGAGTGTGTCCTTGTGCATCCTGTACATGCAGAAATTGTGCTAAACCATATCTCTTACGTTCTGTTCTGCTTTTTGTTCGGTGTACAGGTGGCATGGCTCGACAAAATAGACCGTCGTTATGCGTGGATCAAGCGTCAGCTCGTGGACTATGAAGAGAAGTATGGACGAATGTTCCCTGAGGAGTGGTGGATGACCGAGCGCATTGCTGTAGAGTTCTGTCAGATCACCAGGTACTGACTGAATACCTCGCAATAACACTGCATTCACATAATATTGACTCTTTATAAGTTTATTATGTCATTAGTCAAATTTTTATGTAAATAGTGGGATTTTTTTTTTTTGCCAAGACATTCACATAAACTACGATCAAATAAATTCCTGAATGCACATCCAAAAAGTAATATGCATACATCTCAAGTCATGTGACTGTATAATAATAAAAACTTCTAGTACCAGTTATTTTTATATTTCACAATATTATTGTATTTTTGATCAAATAAATACAGTCTTGGTGAGCATAAGAGACATAAAACATTAAAAAAAACTGTACCACCACAAAGCCTTTGAACTGAGTGGATGTAGGTACCTCTACATATTTTGTGTTTTGGGGGAAAAAAGAGAATATGAAGGAAGGTATTTATAGTAATTATGTATTTTGCTGTCTTCAATGACAAAGCCAGACATGGGTGCATGAGTCTGACAAGTCTTGAGTAGACATGATATCAGCACAGCATAAATCCTCATTATCTCCTTTTACATGTGCATTTAGTGGTTAGCTTAGAAGAAGACTAGACATAAAGCACACCACTATGGCATGATTTAGAAAAAACATAATTGTGCACAGTATGACATGAATGATTAGATGGAAAGGAACTGGTTACATGTCTGGAATTTCAGTAGTGGTATTGATAAAGTGTAAAGTAGGCTATGTGTGTTGTCCATAGTCGAATTCCTCTCAAAAGAGTCATAACAAAACCCTCAATCCCTGGAAAGAATGTCTGAGGTCCACTGTAATCCAATCTAATACATTTCTCATTTTTGACAACTTTATATAAGAATGCATACACCACACCACCATCTCCTCTCTATGTTGGCTCTCAAAAAGGTTCTTTTTCAAGCTGACGGTAACAGGATCTTTCCTTTTAAATATAACACTGATCCACTGTGTTCCTTTTATCAGCCAAACCAGGCATCTGCACACACTGGCCTATAAAAGCACTGACCTGTAGCTTTAGACGCAGGGTTGTGAGCAAAACCTAATGTGCCAAGGAGGACTATGTCTGTGTTTCATTTGCCCATCAGAATCGAGCTAGCCAAGCTGATGCGAACCCGTGCCAGGGAGATCGAGGTCAAGCTTTTGCTCTTCGCTATTCAAAGGACCACCAATTTCGAGGGACTGCTGGCTAAGCGCTTCTCGGGGTGCACCTTGAACGACGGGCCCGGGGTGAGGAAATTGCGGGCAAAGAGCTTTACTGAGGCGCAAACATGCTGGCAATCTGGCTGTTGTGTGATGTTTCTTTTCCTTTGCTCTCTTCAGCAGAAAAAACCTGAGACGCCTCTAGAGCCAACAAACCCCTTTCTGGAAGACGAGTCAGGAGAGGACAACGTATCAGAAAAGGAGGAAGATCTGGATAGAGTGAGGCTGCTTATCTTTATTTGCTCTCTATCATGCAGCAATGAGCCTATTTGCACCGTATCCAGTCTACTCCACCCATCTTCTGATAAAAATTTGATACCGCATTTGGTTCCATTCCAACATGCAATTTACATTTCTTTCTAATGTAGTTTAATTTGACTTGCATCTGAACTCTAGCCTGGATCATCAGGCGCTTATTTTTGACGTGTTATGAAAACATTCAAGACACTGTGTGTTTTAGAAGTTTTTATTTGCTATCGGCTATTGACTTTGGCTCAGGTCCTATTTATTGCACACTTATTTCCTTTTTATCTTCAAATTGGCAATGATGTTCTCAGTTTTAGGTGTTGTAAGAACATTTCTGATGATTTGGGTTCCTCAAAAGTTCAGTTATCACTGTGGTGTTTTTGCAACAGAATTTCCTTTCACCTTCCTGTCAAACTGTAGCACATGCCAGGGTTATTGTCATTTTTTCAGCTTGTTTCTTAGGCAGCATTTCTCATTTTCATTCTGTTTAACTTGAAGCACGAAAATAACAACTTTATTTATTAAATACAAATGAATAAAAACTAAAAAATTTTAAAAAAATATATACTAAACTGATAAAAATGCCAAAAAAAGTAAAAAAAAAACAGCTAATAAACTAATCTAATTAGCATTTCACTGATAATAAAATGACACTGGCACACATAAAGGAACCTCTTAAGACATGTCTGATTGAGTAATGTGTTGCTGTTCACAGCCAAAGAAGCCCAAGGCTCCAGACAACCCCTTCCACGGCATTGTGTCCAAGTGCTTTGAGCCTCATCTCTACGTTTACATCGAGTCGCAGGATAAGTGAGTGAATGTTGTGCACAATCATGTCAGACAAGCCAAATGGCAATAAGCCCATTCATTTGGTTTGTGATCGTTTCTCTCTTGTACACCCCCTTTCAGTAGTTCTCTTGTTTGACTCTCTCCACCTCACCACTGAGGCAAAAATGGTTTCCATTAGCTGGTAACCACTGATGCTGCAGACAACCTGAAAATGGCTTTATTCGGCTGTTCTCGTTCTCGTCCCCACTTACCCTCTCTCTCCCTCTCACCCACGGTGCTCCCGGGAAAAGGACTTCTTGTACAGGCCCTTCTCTGGCCCATGTAACACTCTGCTGGCACTGCCTAAAGCAGAATGACCTTTCTGCTAACAATGGCTTTCATTATACCAGTTCACACTGACCTGTCTGGCATGAGATTGTCCACATTCTTCTCTTGGGGTCAGCATCTATCTGATTACTCCGTGCTGAGAGAGATGGCCTCCTTACTGACCTTACAATACATCGCTGTTCAAAGAAAGTTTAACACATTATGATTTCATTCATAGTCAGATATGTGGTGCAGGTTGCTTTTTTATTATATTAAATGTTTTTGCTAATTTAACTTTTCAGTTACCAAGATTTTTTACTTTATTTTATTTTTTTATTTAGTAGTTTTTTCCAACACATAGCATCCATCATAGACTTTGTCCCCCCCAAATAACAAATATTAAGGAGATCCTCCTTGCAAATATTTTATTTTATTTCTTTTTTAATATTTAGTACTTTTCCCCCCAACAAAACAGAGATCAGATTGGTCACCCCAATACCCCAAAAAATTTCACCTTGGATAAATTTTATTTAATTTGTTTTGACATTGAAACTAAGCAGTACTGAAAACATTCAAAACATGTAGATCTTCAACCATCCTGGTATTTTTAATAAAATAAATAAAAAAATGCAAATTAATAAAAAACAAAATATGCAAGACTCTAATTAGTTTTCTGTTTAACATATGTTGCGATGTTTAAATCCATTCCACAGATTTATGCAGTGGAGGAAATGTAGATAATGTCTGGGCCTAGTGCCATTGATGTTTTTGTTTTTTGTCTTAGAAATCTCGGAGAGCTGATCGACCGCTTTGTTGCTGATTTTCGGGCACAGGGTCCCCCTAAATCAGGTACAGATGAGGGAGGTGCTGTGCTTCCCAGCTGTGCAGATCTCTTCGTGTACTACAAGAAGTGTATGGTGCAGTGCTCGCAACTGAGCACCGGAGAACCCATGATTGCTCTGAGCACCATCTTCCAGAAGTATCTGCGCGAGTATGCCTGGAAGATCCTCTCTGGAAACCTACCCAAGTGAGTTGAGCCACCTGACTTTCTCACATAACTTTCTATTTGGTCCTTCTCCCTTGTTATGGTAGAATTCCGCCCAGTTGCTGGGGCTTTTATTCGGGGTGTTTATGCTGTGGTGATGCTTGAGAGGAGAGAGAGTGGACTTTTCTGTGTGGTCGCATTTGTGGGGTTTCTTGTTGCCGCTTTTCAAAAGAAGAAAAATCCCCACTCGTCGCCTTGTGTGGTTTACCCCGTATTGTCTTTGGGAGTTTCAAAAGGGATCTTTGTTTTGGAGAAGCTGTCTTGTGGTTTCCATGCAGTCTTTCTTTTGTGTCTTTCAGCGGGGTGGGCTGGAGGGTTGAGTTCGGGTTCTTTGGTAACCATCTTTGTGCTTGTTTGCGTGCAGGACCAGCACCAATAGTGGTGGTCTGACCATCAGCAGCCTGCTGAAGGAGAAAGAGGGATCAGAAGCGGCCAAGTTCACCATGGAAGAGCTTTGTCTCATTTGCAGCATCCTAAGCACAGCCGAATACTGCCTGGCTACCACACAGCAGGTGACCAACACACATACATCAATTAACATATCATAAATATAGGGGTTTTATATCTTATAAAACAAGATGTCTTATATCATTCATGTCCACTCCACAGCTGGAGGAGAAGCTCAAGGAAAAGGTGGACAAGTCATTGATGGAGAGAATCAACTTAACTGGGGAGATGGACACCTTTAGCACGTAACTTGACCCTAACCACTAAATAAAAACAGATTTTTTTTATTATTTTTTTTAAAGAAATTAATTAATAGTTGTTAAGTAATGTTCCCATAAATCTCTTTGTTTGGCAGGGTTATCTCAAACAGTATCCAGCTTTTGGTGCAGGACCTGGATGCTGCATGTGATCCAGCCCTTACAGCTATGAGCAAGGTACTATACTGATATCGTAGCAGTTATCGGCTTATATAACCCCCCCAAACCTACTTATTGTACCCCTATTTTTATCTTGACCGTTATCTAACACTCATGTAGCCCTAAATCGGGATTTTGTGACTTTTCATACATTATCTATCTATACATTACACTCACAAAAAACTGGGCTTGATTCGGTTCTTCGGGGTCAATATGACCCCACATTGAAATGAATGGGAAATGTGAAAAAAACTAAATATATTTCCTTCATGTGTTTATGTTTAGAGCATAAATGCAATGTATCATAAAAAAATAATATTTCAAATGCAAGCTAATGGTGTAGTTGAGGAATTGTGTTATATGGATACAAAAGTATTTGGAGTATCTCCAAAAACACAGCATTAATGAATAGATGAGAAGTAAACAAAAAAATTATATATTATTTGTATGATTAAAAATGTTTTTTTTTTTTTACAATTAATCAATTGTTGGGGTCGTAAAGACCCCGAAGCTCAGAAGTGTAAACAGGAAACGAAGACCATTTGAAGGTTAAAATTAAACTGTAAAAACAAAAAAACAAAAATATTTTATTTTGGTTTTACATTTATTTTATTTATTTAATAATTTTGTGTCAATTTAGTATTTATATACTATCATAGTATTTATGCACATTTTTAATATTTTCAGTTTTCATTGAGTAAATTTGGTTTGTGCTGTTGCATTCTTTTTCTACTCAACTTTGATTTTCACTTCAGTAATTTTTAGGTTTATAAATCTAATTTTATTTCAGCTTTATTTCCATTTTTAAGTTTTGGTTAACAACAACAACATTGCTTTCCTAAACAGTGTCTTTAGGATATTTATACTAGACTTGAAGTTGATTTTGTCTATGTTTGTACAGATGCCATGGCAGAGTGTGGAACATGTGGGAGACCAAAGCCCGTACGTGACCTCTGTAATCATGCACATCAAACAAAATGTGCCCATCATTAGAGACAACCTGGCCTCCACCCGGAAATACTTCACGCAGTTCTGCATTAAGTTCACCAAGTCAGTACCGCAACCACTCACTAATCAGTGCAGCAAAGACTCTTTCATAACACAGGCTTTTGGTAAACCTCTGCTAATTGTACTTTCTACCCATTTGTTTCAGCTCCTTCATTCCAAAGTTCATCAACCACCTATTCAGGTGTAAACCAATCAGCATGGTTGGAGCAGAACAGGTATGAGGAGATTCAGACATTGGGATTTATGGCTTTCATAGACCTGACCAAGTTCAAATGTTTTCTTTTTTTTTTTTTTTCTTCTTTGTCTTCTTAACAGCTACTCCTGGACACGCATTCCCTCAAGACCGTTCTTCTAGACCTCCCTTCCATTGGCTCTCAGGTGGTCCGTAAAGCCCCGGCCAGCTACACCAAAATAGTGGTTAAAGGAATGACTCGAGCGGAGATGATCCTCAAGGTGGGAACCTTATGTGCATTCACGACCCTTAAACATTTGAGAAATTGCTCAGCTTTCACCCAATTCTTTTTTAAACAGGCCTCCCTGATGAGAAGCTCAATACAGGAAAGTCTTTAATGATCAGCTGCTCATAAAGCTCCGTGTGGTGCAGCGCTCGGTTGGAGTTATTTACTAAGCTGTGCACGTCTGGTTTAATGAGCTCTCTCTGAGAGACAGGAAGTGCTCACATGCTTTGGCTTTTGTGCCTGCAGCCTTAGCAGTCCACAGTTTAATATTTTCACTCATAGATCTCTACTTATATGTACATATAGACTTGTAACATACAGTGGGGTTCAAACTTTTTTCTCCTTTTCAACTTGTTGTTTTAGTCATTTTTAAAGGTTGGGAGTTATTATAATTATTAAGAGAGAAACATGGATTTGAAAGTGAATTTGATGTGATCAGAACAAACTTGTTGATTGTCCCTATTTTGCTTTAGTGACAGCTGCATTCAAGCTGTTTAAAAGCCTGTTCACACCAAAACTTCTAAATGAAAATTTCACCATCTTGACAGTTCTTCTGCTATTCACTGTCAATTAGCACAATAATTGCTACGACCAAGTTGTAGTTTTATGCCCCCTCCAGGTACATGACCAGAAGCACAAATCCTATTGGTTGGCCAGTTTTCCTCACAATGGAATGGAAAAGATTTCACAACACCCTGCTGTAAAAATCTGTCACATTGATGGATGAACAGATGCAAACAGCCGTCAAATTAAAATGTTTTATCGGCAAACTTTCGCTCTTAATCTGAACAGGCCTTAAACCTCTTAAAGATCTAATGATTATCTCCCAAAAAGTTGAGGGATGAATGTAGTCATTTTTAAAGGTTTGCAGGCACAATGATTTCTGGCCCATTCTTGCACCTTGGTTTACAATAAATGGTCTAAGAGGGTTTACCGATTTAGTTGCAAACATTAGTTTTTCAACGGATACTAAGAAGTGTAAGGAAAATCGTGTTTCCCATGATATGCCCCCATTAATATCATGGTGTAGGCCGATGTTCTGGTTGAGTGTATGAGCTCTGTGTTGTACTATGAAATACAACAGGAGGAGAGGATAGCATGTGCCTTAGTGAATCTTCCTTTCCCTGGTCTCCAGACCCACCTTCTTCTCCATGACCCTTATCTTCAGCCCCACTCATGCTCCACAGGCTTTTATGAGGTTCTCCGGGGCTTTCCTGCTCCTGGTCTTTTAACTGCCTGGAATTCAGCCTTTATTCACCTAATGTTCATACTAAGTTTAGCTCTAATTGTGCAAGATCGTGCAAAGAGCATTTACAAAAGAGGAAAAAATGCTATAAGAAAACATGGGCTACATAAAAAGGGATAGTTTACCCAAAAATGAAAATTCTGTCATTTACACACCCTAATGTTGTTTCAAACCTTTAAGACTTAAAAACTCAAAGATATTTTTGATTAAATAAATAGATTAAAAAAAAGGCTGACCCATACTTTCTTGATACAAGTACGTTTGAGCTTCCGTTCATCATATTTGACGAGCTCTATGTATGTGCGTTGATCAATATTTATATTTGAATAAAAGCCCAAGTAAAATCTGTTCATCATAAAGCGATCGTGTCTCTTCAGAAGACTTTGATTAAACCGCTTTTTTTTTCTTCAATGGTTTTAAGAACTTTTTGAATTTACATTTTGGAAGAATTAACTTTCAATGGAGTTTAAGTTAATTCAAAATATAATACGTTGTAATAACTTTGTTTTGAACATGAACAAAAGTCTTATGGGTTTGAAATGACAATGGTGACTAATTGATGACAGAATTTTTATTTTCGGGAAACTATCCCTGCAACAGCTGAGTTTGTATCTTTCCATCTCCAGCCAGATTAGACAATACACTGGATAAATATTGATGAACACATGACCTTCATTAATTGAAATTCCAAGGTCTGCGTATGAAACCTGGCCTTGATCTTGACTTGCATACGGTGGGTCTTTAAAGTCTGTTTGGCGTTTAATGATTGGCTTTGTTGGACCCCAGGTGCCTCTCAGGTAATTACTTCCATCTTCATCAGCAGCATTTTGCTCTGCGATTCTTGGAAGAGTCATTCATACTTCAGTATGCTCCTTAAGCATAAGGGGCTCTGCCATTTGGCCAGGCGAATCAGTGGCTGGTATTGTTTGCTTAGTAAAACAATGGCACAATCCTTTGCCACCTCAGTCTCACTTTGTCGTCGTTCTTTCTTAATCGTTGATGAATTACATCAGTGAAGTGTGACACCGTTTAAGCGCTTCATGGGTGAAATAGGACCTTCATTGCTGGTGGTGGCTTGGCTGTCCACATGATGCTCATTACAGGGTAAACGTGGAGAGTAATCTGTTAAAGATGTCTTCACTTTTTCTCTCTTTTCTTGGCTGGGAATGAGTTCCTGCCCATCCTAGGGCCCAAACCTCAGAGAGATGTGAAGCTGAAGGAGGTAGCGCAAGCCAAGCATGCTGCTGCTGCCTGTGAGACGTGGCTGTTTTCCACAGTCTTCTTGCCTGTCTCACCCCCACCCCCCATTGTGGCTGTTTTTGGAAATGAATGGAAAGGCAGACTTTATCCCCTTCCTCGCGTTTTCTCTTTCGTGCTCTCTATTCTTTCTTTCTCATTTATGAGGTAACTACAACAAGCCTTCTCGAGGCTTATCCTTGGCCTGTCTCCAGGATGGTCCTGTGGTAAGGAAGGAACGTTCAGAATTCAAGATGATCTGAAGTGTTCCGTGTCCCGCTTTGTTTTGACCCTTATCCGCATATCCTGGTGTATCCCTTCAGGTATGGAGAGTAAAGAGAAAGAATAATGGGTATTGTATAAAGGGAAATGTTGCACAGGATGCTGATTAAGATATCCCCCCCCCCCCCCCTCCCCCTAGGTGTATCTGTCAGCCATGTGTTTTCTGCCCTGTTAGTCACAAGATATCCAATTAAAAAAAATCTCCCAAACTTGGAGGGAAAAGAAACAGATTCACAATGCAGGCCTGTACTCCATTTAACCTATTTTTTTACTGCTCAATTGATAGTCTCTAATTATACCCCACAAAAAAATTACCGGTGAGGCTGATTCAGCTTTGTTCAAGCATAGCGTAATTATGCTGTTAAAGTATCCTTAAATAGATACTTCAAGCACTTTATCTATGAGCTCACTGTATTATGTTGTCTCCTGCTCTTAGAGTGTCATGTGTTCAGAAAACCCAGTTGTAGTTTAGCTGACTTTTTCTTTTTCTTTTTTCTTTCACCTCTCAGGTGGTCATGGCCCCTCACGAACCATCTGTGGTCTTTGTGGACAACTACATCAAGCTCCTTGCTGACAGCAACCCTGAGACTTTCCAGAAGATACTAGATATGAAGGTGAGTCTGTTTTATTTGCTTCAGGGAAAACTTCCTCATATTTCATAAAATCTGACCACTAATAGAACAGGAGACCCCCCCTAACCAATTTAATTAATTGGTAATGGAAAGAATTGTGTTCAAATGATTAATGCATTTACCATATCCACTCCGCCGTATTTACCATATCCACTCTGATTGGTGACGAACGTGAGGCAGGGCAACAACTCACTGTGTGATATTGCTTAGAATGCAGATATAATGCCCTAAAATCCTAGATATTGGGACAGAAATGTCCTTGCACGAGTTATTCTCATATTTATATAATATGATCTAGTTAGAATATAACTGGAGTAACGAGTGCAAATGTAAAATACCCATTGATCTCATTCTATTATTTATGCAATTGTAATTGCAGTCTAATAAATTCCTTGTTGAATCAAAAAAAAAAATGTTCTAATGCAATTTTCTTGTAATGTCTATTTGATGATTTTCTCATTTAACACAAAAATGACTTTAAATGTTCCTTTAGGGGTAATTTCTCATGTAGTTAATTTCCTATTTATGAGCGAATGAATCTATTAGTATTGAGTATCAGATCTTTTAAAATAACTGGTTCACAAATATCTCTAATTGATTCATTAGAGAATAAGAATAATAAAAACACAATAATCACAAATGATCGAAAAGATCTTTGAAATTGATTGGTCTATTTTCCCCCTAAATCTTTAGGGTCTGAAACGGAGTGAGCAGAGCACCATGCTGGAGCTTTTCAGACAGAGGTTGCCCACTCCGCCCTCAGGACCAGACGGTGGCCCATCATTGTCCTTCAGTGCCCCCACCCCTGAACAAGAGTCTTCCCGTATCCGCAAACTGGAAAAGCTCATTAAAAAGAGAATTCAGTAAATTAGCAGGAACTTTATTCCCATCAATATACTGATGTGAGCGCTCTCTTTTGTGCATGGCCTGACAACATGTCTCCGCTCAAGTTATATCATGCTTAAAATGGGATGTAAATAGTACTGCTATGTCTTTTGTATGCATTTATGTTCGGTTACAGATCACTGTTTAACTTTGAGGCTTTCATGACTTGCATTACTATAGGCCTTATGATTCAAGTCTTTTCCTGAACCTCAACACATTACTGGCATGAATGAGTCATTTTCCCAGCGACCCCCCCCCCCCCCCCCCATTTTTGGCTCCAATTTACAACACTAATACCCACAGTGTCATTTACTTTGCACATTTCTCTGAAATATGCTTGCACTTAAAGCAAAACAGAGGGCAGTGTGGCCCAGAAAAGAAACCTGCTGCTATTCTGGCACAAAGTCTTCTGCCCTGGGGTTTAAAACATCAAAATGATTTAAAACCAATGTTTTTATAATTGTCCCCTCACTATAAGAGTAAACGGCTGTGTGTAATATAGCTTTTGCTCTGAGTAAAGGTGCCTGCGGAGAAGAGGAGTGAGATTTCAGGTCTCAGGTACTCCACAATGGAGGAGCTTGGGATCTCCTGTCTCCTCTGAAATGATAAACCAGTTATATTGACTTTTAAAATAATTTCCCAGGTTGGGGTGAAAAGAAAGAAACACTTGCATTGTAGATGTTTTTACCCTGCAGGAGCTGTAAGAACTGAAGAATGTTTTCCCATGCTAGTGATATTTTCTCTGCGAACAATAATAGTTCATGGGAGATTGGAATGCAGATGCAATGCAGAAATGTGGATACATTATTCTACTTTACTTAATCTACTGTTCACTTTTGTAAAGATAGTATTTGTTTTTGTCCATTGTTTGACATGAATTATTTTATAGTCCTTTTAATAGATGATTATATGAACTCCTGAATCGGTTTACTGTACTTTTCATCATAATTTCATCACAATCTCCTTTATGTATTTTTTTTTCTCTGCACATGGCTTTGTATTTGTTAAAATACCTCAGCAGCAGTGTATATCAAAGCTAAAATGTGTGCAATGAAAGTATGATTCATGTGTTGGATGGGCTATTGTGATGTGTGAGGTTATTGTAATAATATTTGCAACTATTTCTGCTGTTGATTGCTTTAATGAAAACATTCCTGCCTTCTGTGAATATTACAACATCTTTTTAAGGTCAACTGCAGATAGAAATTCTTGTTAATAAAAATCTGTTGATTATTGGCTTTGACAAATTTGTTTTTGTCATTTTCTGTATGATGGATGAACAGATATATAGATTTAAGATTATGGTTGGAAGAGTAGATGGATGAGCAAATAGTTGTCTGATATTGTCTGTGTGTTTGATTGATGGATGGATGAACTGAGGTGTGTGTAGATAGATAGATCGAGAGATAGATATCAATGGATAGATAGATTTCAATGGATTTGTTAAGCTTGATTCTGAAGTTGGCCTCTGTTAAAAGCAAGGGCCTCCTCCTGACTCTCTAATTGTCACTCCAATCATCAGTGGGAGGCAGTTTTGAAGGCGTCTCCTCTCTTGCAGGCGCTTGTAAAACAATGAACTTCTTTGAGTGTGGACAATTTTGAATGCAGGCAGGCTGACAAGCGGGTAAACTTGCGTTCACTTCCCCGGCAATGACCCCCTGACTGAATGCGCTCAGGAGCGAAGTTTCCATTTTGCTCTCAGTTTTTATAAACCCATTTAAACTTGGCGACAACAAACACATTTGCAGCTTCTTCAGATCTGCGTTTCAAAGTCTCGGAGGAAACGGGAGCGGTGAGCCAGAGCCACGAAACGGATTATCGACTGATAGTCCACGGGACCACGGCATCGCACAGCTGGTTTACTTTATACGAACCGTTCGGATCTCTTTTAGACAGAGCTGCCCGCAAGATCAACAGAGAAAAACTATTTTGCACATAATTCGATTTAATTGCATTGTTAGGAGAGCTTGTGGAACCTGCCCGCAAGTGTTGAGCAACTTAAAAAAGCAATGGTGGGAAGACTGAACTTGCGGAATGTGTCTGACGACGATCCGCTGGGTATGAATTTTAAAGCTGATCGGCCGCTGGACAGTCCTGACTCCGGTCTGCCTCCGAGTCCGAGTCCGAGCCCGAGCCCGAGCGTCTGGTTACTGCAGGGCACCGGGGCTGGAACCCCGGTTACTGAAGACGAGAGCAGAAGGACAGCTGTGGTATGATTCCTTCAGGCTATGCCAAGACATTTATTACTTCAAAAATTACTTCAAATGGTTAAGTTTTTTTTTTTAATCTAAAATGTACATTTCAGCTTCTTTTCGATTAACAAACATGCTTTTTATGTGTGTAAATTATAGAAAAATATATTGCATACATTGTTTACCTGTCCCAAAGTAGTCTAATATAAAAAAATTGATTCTATTAAATATTAAGAAATATTATTCTTTTTATACAGGTTCCTAATAATCGCCAATTGCATGCATTGTCCTACGGAGAAGGAATTGAACTTGATCCTCTGCCACTAAAAGAAATAAGGTGATGTTTTTTTCTTTTCATTTTTTTTTTAAGGCAAGTTGCTCTGGTGCAATTCATATAATGCAGTTCTAACTTGTTACATGTGTTTTTACAGATACACATCGTCTGTACGTTATGATTCCGATCGACACTTCATCCAGGACGTGACCCTGCAGCCCAAGGGTTTGGGTCTGGAGATGTGCAGCCAGACAGTGTTGGCCCTGCCTCAGAGCACCTGGAGACATTACAAGACCCAGTTGGAGTTCCAGCCCCGTCAGCGGGTGCAGCGTTACCAGAGCACCACCATAGTGTACCCCAAACACACCCGGACCTTCTACACCACCCAGCTCAATTACGACGGGCACAAGTTGACCAAGCGCTTCTTCTCTGCTGTTGAGCTGCAGGCCTCTGATTGCAAGGCTGGTCTTTGAAAGACACACTGGCATATGTGCCTGACATTACGCCCATATGTCCCAATTATAAACCACCGCCTGCATTCATTGAGTCCCAAGAGGGGGGAAAAAGGAAACTCTGACTGAAATTGTTGCCAGTTGGAAAGGGGTTCCCAAAACAGAAGTGCAGTTAGTGAGTTCAAGGCTGGAGAAGGGAAAGCAACTGTGTTGTTTAAGGTTTGGTTAGGTTTAACCATTGTTTTAAGGTTAGAAGCAGGTTTGGATGGTTTTCAGTGTTTAGTGGTAGTGTACACCAATGGGTTTAATTGTATGTAGAAATGTGGTTGATTTATTTAATAGTGAGATTAAAGTTTAAGATTTTCTGATATTGGACCATCACTGGTTTGAAAGGTTAGATTTGATGTTCTGACTAGGACACACATTTAGTAGACCAGGTGAAAACTGATTTTGCACACCATTAATTATGTTTTAGAATAACAAAATGGAGTATTTTAGGGTTGGGTTACAAAGTTAGAGCTGCCACACACCATATGTTTCATGTGATTCACATTTCACTGAGATCTAGAAAAATGAATAAATCAGGGCCTAAAAACAGGAAAAAAAGAAGGATATTTTAGGGTGTCTTGCATAAGGGTTATGTCTGAGCTGAAACATTAAATCCATCAGAATATCAACTAACCTGCATATTTTTACTACTGTAGCCACACTTAAGTCGTTAACCATATTTTCTTTACGTAAAAGGCTAGCTAACTTCCACAGCCCGGCTTGGTTTTAGTAAGTTGTTCTCTGTATTGCTACTCATGAAGGAAAAATTACAAGTGAGGTCACATTATAAATGAGCTCAATCATGCTTGATACTGCAGACTGAGGTATATGAAGACTAGAGTTTAAAAATAAATTATAATGTAAATAACAGCACTTAAATTTTTTTTATTCTCTATTTATTTCTTGTTTTATTTCCCTTTTTTCTGTGCACAGTCATTGATTAAGTGAGTAGCACAAAATGTGCTGGCTTTAAAATCTGTAGTTGTGCTGTGTACAATTATTTTAACTCTGATTTTATTCATATTTACATTAAGATGGATATTAACTCCTAAAATGAAATAAATTCATTATTTAAAGTGACATGTTGGTTTTTATTGTAATGTGCATTTTCCTTAATGTTTGCATCATGCTAGAAAACAAGACCCTTCAAATACAAGTTAGTAGTGTAACTAGTGATCTTCTCATTTGTTGTACCCGAGAGCCCCCTAGAGGTGAAAGTAAGTATTAGAGGTCAGATGTTGAAGGGATTACCCCCCAAAAAATGACTTGCCAACACTCTTCAAAATATCTTCTTTTGTGGTCAAGAAACTCAGGTTTAGAACAACTTGAGGGTTAGTACATGATTTGGGACTGCCTCATGAACGTCTTTTTAGGTTGGTTGGGCCTGGCTGTGCTCAACCAAAAATACCATTTCATTTTTGTGTTGACTACTCCCTTTTTTATTATTATTATTATTATTATTATTTTATTTTTTTTTTAAACTTTTTTTCTGGTCTTCTGTGAGCATGTATGATCTCCAGGACTGTTCTCCAGCTTTCTCATGCACTCAAGTGTTGGACTTTTGATTCTGGTCGATAGGTGATTCATCTTGTGTTGTTGAAGAGTTAATCCTCTTGAAACTGTACAAGTAAGTTAACACAATGTCCTGTTTTATGACCTGACATGTAATTATCCAGTTATGTTTCTTGGGAAATTGTTTTCTTTAAAACTTCGGTCGTATATTTGAAGTGTCAGTTTGTCAACAACTGACCCCCTCAAACGTGAAACTTACACTTAAACTGAAACTTACCATCACAACCTATTTGTTTTCATTAAACCGGGAACAATGGAATTTTGTTTTATTGACTATCACTGAGAAATGGTCTATTATTTAAAATGCAAAAAACATTTATTATTTTCCAAGGTGAAAAGGATTCATTTGCCTCGATCCACGCCGAAAAAAACGTCTAAATGTCACATTTTTAATGAAGCAGCCTAAATAGTCTTCTTTGGAAAATGTGTAGATGTCAGGTTTTCATTAAACCGAGAAAAATGGAATTTTGTTTTATTTACGATCACTGAGAAATGTTCTATTATTTTAAATGCAAAAAAAAAAAAAATTAATATTTTCAAGGTGAAAAGGATTCATTTGCCTGGATCCACGCCGAAGAAAACGTCTAAATGTCACGTTTTTAATGAAGCAGCCTAATGAGTAAAATGTCTATTTTTCCGGCGTCCCCCAGCTCCTCATTTAAGCAAAAGGTACGCTAAAACAACGTATTGCATCGACGTTAAACCACGTTAACCGTGTTAACCATAACCTTTTAAATACTCGACCATGACTATGGGTCGTCAAAAACGCCATCCCTTCCGTGGCTCACTGTTTTTACGCTAATAAACGATTCTTCGTGGCAACCGTATAATTTTATAATGGTTTATTTTCCATTTAATACTGTTCTTCTTTGCTTACACTAAAGACACAAAAAGTAAGAAAAACGTCTGTTGTTTCTATCATGGAGAGTAAAGGAAAGGTTTTTATCGGTTTTCATTAGAAGACGCATTTGGCACTGAATGAAATCCAATCGGATATGTTTCTGGCGAAACGTAAAGAAATGGGTGGGGCTACATGGAGCAGTAGCCAGAGCCAGCCAATCGAATGCATTTGTTGATGTTGAGGGGGCGTGATGTTAACTTGGGTTACTTCCTACTTGTATGTCGTATGCAACTAACCCGAATATAATGTAAAACATCTATAACAATTCTAAGAACTAATGGCGTGTTTATTTTATAGCAGTTTCTGCAATATTGGTGTAAAGATGTTTCGATTAGAATGAGCTGGGAGTTACTTTAATTTCGTTTTCAGATGGATGCTTCTGGATCACAACAACTGCTCGATGAGTGGGATAACGTTACATTAGCGACTCAGAATTTCTCAACATCCCTTGCGAGCAACAAACCATCGGTAAAATATTGTTGAATTCTCTTGGGAGCCCCAAAAATGTGTAATTTGGATAATTTTTTGCGATCGTTTGGGTTTTTTTTTTCTTTGTGTTCATTTGTTTGTATAATATCTGTTTCTTTCCACTGAAAGAAAAATTAGATATAACTATCATGTTATTAGGTTTTATACACGTAAACAGTATTTTTTCTCTCTGTCATTTTAGATCCCCATCGTCCTCTCAGTAGAGAAACTGATTGTGAACACTCAGTGGACTTTAACAGCCCCATAACACCCACTTCATCAGTGTACAAGTAAGTCTCTTGTGTGATGCTTAGAGAAAAATTGTTTCTAGATATTGTGTGCCAACATGCAACCCACGTCATTCTGCAACATGTTTTTTTTGCTGTTGTCACATAATAACATAATGCTCTTTTACTTTTCAGCCATAACAAAGAGACTTTGGGGCAAGAAGCCGTAAAAACTGATGATGCAAGGGGTTTAAAGAGAAAGAGCCTCCATGAAAATAGCCTCAGCCCAATGCAACGCTTCCTCAAGCGGCATCTGAGTGTGACTCTCCTGTGTGACCAGTCTTGGTGTGAGATGAAGACTGTCTACAGTCTTTTGAAGCCACATCTCAAAAGAAAAGACCTGCAACGGTCTGAGGTTCAAACCGGAGCAGAAATACATTTATCAAGAGGTGATGTAATAAACTGCATTGGCTTTCAATACGTTGTGTATTATCATGCATATTGAGTAATTCTATCCATGCCTTTCATCTCCAGAACTGGAGATACAGAACGTTGTCCCCATTGATATCCGGACTAGAGAGGATGCAGAAGCCATCAAACTTCTCAACATGTCACACATGATTTCACGGTTGGAAACAGGTGTGTTGACAGTGTAGAAATAATTTTAGGTATTGTTTTGATACTTGGATGAAGTTTAAACATTTAAATCTCAAACATTCTTATTTCAGGGGAGCGTGTGCGAGAGTTCCCTGTGTTTGGTGTGCTGGAAGGTGTTTTTTTCATGGGGGTCATTGATGAACTGATGTACAACCAGAAGGGGGAGCTAGTCCTAAATGAGCTTAAGACACGCAAACACAACTCCATGCCTAGTTCTGCACAAGATAAAGTTAACTGCTTACAGGTGAGTTGGAGTTATTTATTACAGGTCATTATGATGCAGCAGTTAATGATTACAATGTGCTTTTGTGCACAGCTGCCTTGTTTTCCCTGGACTTTATTGTGTTTCCACTACCATATACATGTGGGCATATAGTGAGGGTCAATGATGCTTATTTGTAAAATCTATGAATTTATTTACAAAGAAAAGCCCAACGTTAAAATGACCTGAATACAAATTGTTCTATTTTCTATAAAGAGCATGTTTTTTTTGTTGTTGTTGTTGTTGAAAATTATAAAGTAAAAAAATTTCCTAATAGCATAACAATAGAAAAAAATCCTCACAAAAGAAGTAAATTCTAGAGATTAAATATTAAGTATAGCTTGGTGTAATCCTTTATTATTATTTCTTAGTAGAAAAAAAATCGGGTTCATGGTAGTAGTATGAATGTATACACAATTATAGTATTTCTTTATATTTTAGCTTTTATTTTTTACATTGTTAGTTACTCTTTTTCCGGTTTAAATTCAATTCATTTGGTTATGTGATTTTTTTTTTTTAATTTAGTTTTTTTCAGTTTTAGTATGCAAGTTAGTACTTTAGCTTAAATGTATTTATTTCAGTTTCTAATTTTCTACATTTCTAATTTGCATGTTATACTTTTCATATTTTATTTTATTTATTTTATTTCAGCCTAATTTCAATTACCAAAAATTATTTTTAATAACTTGTTTTTAATAATTTAATTTGTTTTATTTTCAGCTTACAACACTGATAATGGATCATTTACCAAAACCGTTACAAATATTTGAACAAATTATGTCTGCTAAATCGAAGTCATGTGGTGCAACCAGAGAAATCACGTGGTTTGACTCCCCAAAACTGAATTCATAATTGAATTATGAATATTTATAACTTATTTTTTACCATTAAAATATATATATATATATATATATATAATTTTTTTTTTTTTTCTCTCAAAATCATATGAAACCAACATGAATATGAAAAGCGCATTTCTAAGAACTTGGCACAGATTTTTCTTCCCTTTTCTTTATGCACACTCTAATGCACCTGTCCATCTGTTATTTAGGTGGGCCTCTATAAATTGCTATTTGATGGAGTGGTGAGAGGGGGAAGTGAAGAAAGACCATATATTAAATCACCTTAAACTGCGTTCAACTCAAGTGCTTGGAGCGGGAGTCCAGGCCCATGCTAAAAGCATTGGGGTTCAGGTGACTACCTTTGAGGAACTGGTTGATGCCCTACTAATAACTGTGTCATGTTCTGATCTTCCATGCATTGACCTGCTTCAGCTTGAATACTATCACCAAGGCTCTAGTGGACCCATTGGGACCAGAGTCGCTCCTTTCAATGAAGCCCAACTACGGGCAGAGCTTCAGGGTTATCTGGCCTATTGGACAGGCCAGAGGGAACCCAAAGGGGTGGACATAGAGGAGGCCTGGAAATGTAGATCATGCCTGTATGAACAGACTTGTGATTGGAAAAAGAATAGATTGCAAGTATCTGACCAACAAGCAGCTCATGCTAGCTCCTGCTCATGAGTTAACATTTTACAGCCGATACAAACATTTCTATGTGGCGACATTTGTCATATATTTAGCTTTTAGGTTTTATACTTTAATAATTGTCTAATGTGTTCTATTTCAGTTTTTAAATAATGATGTGATTTGAATGTTACTGTGAAACTCTATAATAATTGTGAATGATGCATTGTGGATCCATAATGCATTATTTAATCCATAATGCAATATTTGGATTAGAATGGCTTTAATGGAAGCAAGCTGAAAGCTTTCTTTATGTACATTAAGAATTTTAGCCCACTTAGATGTGCTTTTCAATGAACTTCAATGACTTTTTATGGCTTCAGTCAAGGCATGCCAATATAATCAATATAAAATACATTTAAAGTGAGCAAATTGTTTAAATACAGAACTTATATTGTTCTGTCATTTTGTTTTAAAACAAAGATGTATATCATTAACCTTATCCATTATATATTAAGTTATTAATAGCTAAATAAATAATAATGTTAATCCCTAACTAAATCATTTATGTCATTTTCAAAATATTGTGTAATATTTGTTTTATAATGAAATAAGTGCCACTGGATGGTGCTATTTTACCATAAATAATTACTTAGTCTCTGAATTTACTGAAGGTTTAGAACGTTGAGTCATTTCTGTAAGATGATAATATGATAACTATGACATTATCAGTTTGTATTTTACAGTTATTGCTAATATGAAATCAGTGATGCGGTGTGCCAATGACTGAAAATGCCATATTTTGATTAGCAGATCCCTCATAATGATTCTCTTGTGTAGATACGGAGATGCTTGTTTATTTGGGCACGAAATTTCATCTGCCCCAGCACTGACCTCAGCACTGCTTTTCTTCACATGTCGTCATTGAGCGCAGGCCTTGGAGCATGTCCTTGTTATCAATATGACACTGTCAGACTAGGAATGACACATCTGCCATTTAAAAGAGGCCACACACTCCCTCAGGGTGCTTTTCATGTGAACCTAAATCCCACACCAACACACAAATACTTTAGTCAGTATTTAAATTCAATGGACAAATGTTTGAGTTTGTTCCTATGCTGTTGGGTAAGATGTGTAGCTGCCTTTGCATGGCGCATATGTTTTAATTGTCTCTGGAGGCTTGTTAATTTTTATAATTAATTGACTCACTATTTTCCTTATTGCTGATCAGCACACAACTGACTGCATATCTTAATAGAGACGAATCTGCAATCTAATTTGATTGCAGTAATGATTTTACCCAGCATTGCACATGCTCATTGCATGCATCAAACAGCCAAGAGGCCGAGAGAAGCCGCTATTAGATTGTGTTGGTTAAGGTCTGTTCTAATCTGCTAGTCAACAGGCTAAAAGAGCCATACCCTGTGCTGTGTTTGCTCATGTGTGCACTAAAACATGCATCTTCCTTAATGCAGCGGCTATAGGAACCTGCAGTACAGTCTGGTCTGATGAAGTCACTCAGGTGCTAATGACCCCTCATTCAAGGCTCTTAAAAGCACTCCCACTCACTCAGCCTCTAGTAAAGTGCTTCAGCACTTCACTTCAGCCTTTGTAAACTCTTGTCACCTGGCAGACAGAGGAGCCATCCTACACTAATGTGGCCCGTCGGTTCATGCTCTGTTTGTCTTGTGCACTGATTTGCACCAAACTCAATTCCTGCCTTCCTTGATCAATAGGATGCCCAACATAGGGTCTCTGAATGGCGATTGCATTAAGGCACGGGCAAAAAGAAGTTAAAAGGCTCCATTCTTGATTTTCCTATCATGTTAGAAAAGTGTTTAATGATGTGTAAAACTAAGTGCGAACACATGGGGTGATCGAATATATTCATGTGAGTGTGCAGTGCATGGGAACTAATGCAGGAAAAAAATTGTCAGGACTTGGGAATCATTTGTTTTGCATTGTGATATCTTACATTGATGAATGTCATCACATTGGTTACATAATTCCCTGCAGGCAAACGATTCTAATACCATAACGTAAATCTCACCTAAATCACATAGTTAATATTGTCTAAAATGAAATATACCATTCAAATGTTTGGGGTCGGTAAGATGTTTTAAAATGTTTATTAAAGATGTCTTTTATGGGCACCGAGACTGCATTTATTTGATCAAAAATATAGTAAATTGTGTACTATTGTGAAAAATTATTATAATTAATATACATTTTTTTATTATTAACCGCAACCGGATCCATGTGAAAACAAGGATGCATATCGGATAGACATTACATGCACTCATGCAATGCTTACGTTGTTAACATTAACAATTTGAGAACACAGTATAATTTGCACGGTTTTGCATCATACGATTGTTAGATTTAATCAGCGCGAATTACTGCAATCTCAGAACCATTTTTTTTCCGGTGAAAATTATTATGTTGGTCATATTTCAAAAGGAATAATCTGTCTCCTGAAGCATTGTGTTCATCCTCGCTGTGCCATGTCGAGGGTGTTGAAGTACAACTCACATAAAGTTGATAATTCCACGAATGACTGCAATTGCAGATTTCGAACAGAGATGGCGACAAAGAGGAAAAAATGCCGGGCTGCAGCTTTAAAAATAATTTTTATATTTTAATAGTTAACATGTAATTTATACCTGTGATTGCAAAGCTGAATTTTTAAAATATCTTCAGTGTCACATGACCTTTCAGAAATCATTCTAATATGCAGAATTGGTGCTCAAGTAACATTTCTTATTGAAAGCCGTTGTGGTGTTTTATATTTTTATAAAAATGATGATGCATGTTTTTCAGGATTGTTTTGCACCCTTTCCAAGTAAATGTATTAAGTAAATTGTTATTAACTTATTCACCTAAACAAATGCTTAAGGTTGTTCACTTGAGTGTATTCATGATACATTTTCTAAAAGGAACTGGAAAAATAAGAGACTAAAATAATGCATAATGAATAGACTACAAACATTACTATGCAGTAAATCCATTAAAAGTGTAAGCCTGTGACGCAGATCTCATTACAGAGTGACAGCGGTCTGCTGCCGCAATAATGTAACCGAGCCAGAATTCAGCTCCACCCTGCTCAGTGTGGAGATCCGCACATGGTCAAATAATCCCACTCTGGAGAAATTGAAACCCACAGGCCTCTTTAAGCTAAAGCAAAACATGAGGAAGTCTTTGGACCCAACCCACAGCTGTCCACAAGCCCAAATCTCACTGTCATCATTAGTCAACTGACTAAAACACCTCCGTCTCCATTTCTGACTCTTTAATCCCAGGGATCAGCCCTACACTGTGGTTAGACTGGAATCTGCTGGATGGTGATTTAAAGGGATAGTTCACTTTGAAATTAATTTTTGATATGTTTTAGCTTACCTCAAGGGCATCCGAGATGTAGGCGTCTTTGTTTCCACAGTATTTTCAATTTGGACATTTTTCGGTCAAACCGTTGTTGTCTTTCAGTCATATAATGGAGTTTTAGGGGGTCCACCTCAAGGAGCATGCACAGAGAAGTCCAAATTAAACATGATTTAATGACTCGTGAATGTAAGTACACACTGATGGCCTAAGACACGAAACGAGCGGTTTGTGTGAGAAAACGAACAGTATTTATATAGTTTTTAGACCTCTACAGTCGTACAGCTTTACCTTTACAGTTCGTACAGTCGTAAAGGACCTTTTTAAATCGTACAGTGTGCTCCGGCTTAAGAAAAACTCTGCACAGAGGGCTCTTGTGGTTTTGAATGCATTCAGGACATTTGATACCAGCCCCTTTGTTTTGCTGTAAAGGATATCTTAATTCACTCCTTTACATTTTTGGCAGAGCACAAGGCCCATTAATGTATTAGTGCCTTCATGCAAACCCTGTTAAAAATTACAGGTCTGGTTGCGTGCACATTTTGTCCTAATAGAGTAATTGTCCTCTTGTCCTGGAAAGTAAAAAAAGCAGAGGGGAGTATCATTTTCAATTCTGTGCTATGTGAAGGAGCGAGAGAAAACCGTAATATATCAGCCTCCAGGAAAGACTGAAGCATCCTTTAGTGAAGACACAAATAACTCCAAGTGAAACAAATGAAAGTACATGGGATGCAGGGGCTGAGATAAAAGAGAATGTGAGTACAGTTGTGTGTGTTTGTTTCAGCTGGGGAAGTAGTTTGCATATTAGTGGCACAAGTGTGCTTTTGTGCATGAGGATGCAAGCTTGTGTACATGAGAGATTAATTGAGCTGTTCGGAAACGTGCTGGGTTAATGAAACTGTGACCGTGCTGCAGGAAGCCCTGTAACAGGGCTTTATCTCTGTCACATGGCACAGAAAGAAACAGCTCATTATGTAGGTCACAAGTCAATTTGATAACTTGCTGTTCCAAGGGAATAAAATGCTTTTCTAAAGAAACAGTCAGGACAGAACTGGAATAATAAAGGGGTCATATTATGCTTTTTTTACATTTTCAACTTTCTTTAGTGTGTGATCTTGCTGTTTGAGCATGAAAAAGATCTGCAAAGTTACTAAGCACAAAGTCCACTCTAAAGGGAGTTACAGTATTCTCCATATCAGTCGCAGTGTTTCTGAACTCCCTGAAATGCCTCAATTGTCTCTTGAGTCTTCTTCTGGGAACGTACATCACAGTATTCCTCATTTAAATAATTCCTGCCCAATACATACTCATTAAAAAGGGACGAGGCCTGGTTGAGTTACTTTATATGCTGCATCCAAAATTGAATACTACCCTACTATATAATAGGCAAAATATACTATGTCTGAATTTACTGTATTCATTAAAGAGCAACACATTCTCACCCCAAGGCGTCACCTTTGACCATGCTTCAATATTTGACGTTTTAGGCGCCCTTTAGCGTCACTTACATGACGCGATCCTACGGCGTCAACTAACTGACGCTAAAGGAAAGCGTCAGTTAGAAGACGCGGTTAGGTTTAGGTGTGGGGTGGGGGTAGGGTACACGCGATCCTAGGGCGTCATCTTACTGACGCTAAAGGGCGCCTTAAGCGTCAGATATTGAAGCATGTCCAAATGCTTCCCAAGGCGTCAGTTAAGTGACGCCTTGGGGGTGAGAATGGGCTGTAAAGAGTCAGCAAAAAGTACCCAGATGACTCGCCTTCTTCTGGCGAGTTTCTGAATTGTGCATACAATGGACACGTTACTATCCCATGAGAATTTGTGAATGGTATGAGCAACATAACTGACGCTGGTATGTCACATAATAATGACAACATGGCGAATGTACTGAAGTATGTCCAGATTACATTCATCCAACACACCTTTTTAGTGGTTGTGAAGTTATTGCTTCACTTTACTTACTTACTAATAAATTCCCACTCAAGAGAGTATGCAATTTTGGACACAGCCAAAGTGAGTTGAAATGTTTAGGGGTGTGACATTTCCTAAACGTGCTGTAGCGGTTGACAGTCACAACACACTGGTCCAGCCGACCAATCAGAGCAGAGCACATTGCACTTTTCGGAAGGAGGGGCTTTAGAGAGACTAAACAAAGTGTTACTGATGGACTGAGAAGAGAGGTGCAGCAACAAAGATTATGTGAAAAATAACCTTGACCCTATTTTTTACATATTTAATATCGTTGAATCCTTAATATTTAACAATTTTAATGATCTGAGTGAGAACTGAGCTGGACGATGACTTCATTTTTTTTTTTTTTGCAGAACTGCTTTATAGAAGGAAATAACTAATTCAATTGTTGATGATCTTTAAAAGTGCATGAACAGCCACTCTCATCTAACCAG